CCCCCCCCCCCCCCCCCGGCCAGCAAACGAAGATGTCGGGGACCATTTCTCCGAGAGATAGGCTGCAGCTCTGGGTTAATACATTTTTGCTAAAGCAAAAGGAAAACTCAGGTAGCGTAACCGCTACCTTTCGTGACTACCGAAACGATCCGAAACGTTTGAGCATCAATTGTTACAGTAAATTGAAGCCCAACAGCATGTAACATCCTGTAACATACCCTCCCGTCCAAGTGACTAGTAACTTTTCACTGGATGGTTTGACCTTGCAAATCAAAACCCGAAGAATTTCGAAGACCTGACTGCACAACTTGTTGCCGGCAGCTCTCTCTGTGAACAATAGGTTGAATTCTGCAACCAACTCATTCTTTGCCAATAAGGACATGTCACATTTGCATTTAAGCCTTTTTGCCAACACGACTTCTTCCGACAGTGACAGGGGGGTCCAAGTACTAGTAGTTCAGGACCTGAGCTGAGTGGCTCAGCCAGAAACCATTGATTCACATCGCTGGGCTCTCCGGACAGGCTGAGGCCACCAGATCTCTCTCCACCTCCCCTTCGGCCAGCGTCATGTAGGGCTCGGTCGTGGCCAGTGCCACTGCAGCCTCCCAGGCAGTGGCCTGGAGTCCAGTGTTTGGGTGCGCGGTGAGCTTACACATGTCACGTCATTGGGTGTATTGGCATGTTGATTCAAGTGAGAGACCTTCCAATTGAATTTGAGTGCTCCAGCGAGGAACCGCTACAACATCACACATACTAACACGCATCGTTCCAAGCATTTGAAACGCATTGGCTCATTGGCACGATTCCCCAGCTCCACTCAGCACCTGCCACAAATCGTACCAACGTACGCACCGTGCCGGCCAGCGCCTTCTGGCAGGCAGACAAGGCGCATGTGAAGGTGTCGGCCTCGGACCCAACGAGTGGTCCCCAACGATACACTGAACGAGTGATCAGGAACGACGAATAGGACATGAAAAAGAGTGATAGCTTTAAAAAGATAGTATAAACCGTCTAAAAACCTACGAATAGCAAGACATGGAACCATGTCTTGACATGGAACCCAAAAACCTACGAATTGGTCGTGTCTGATGGAAAAGATCGTGTTTTGGCTCCACTTGACTAAAAATATATAGAAAGAATTAGAAAAACCAAACAAACCTCGACTGGGACACTTCCATAGGGTCAAGCATACTGATGGATCTTGCTCTGGTTCTGGGGTTGACACTGTTCAACAACAAATCAAAGTTGTCATAATGACACAGGCCGACCAAAGAAGCTCAACACATCATCAAAACACTTACCGAAGAAGCTCAACACATCATCAAAACACTTTGCATTCAATTCTTAAGGACGCTATTAGGGGCACCTGGCCTTACTACTATAGTGACAAGGACGCTACTAGGGGCTCCTGGCATCGCTACTAGGAGAAAGGACGCTACTTTTACAAGATGAGAAGCACAAAGCTCCTATGCACCTGAGTACTACAGAGCCGATTCACATGGCCTCAATTTCTGGTCTTCCCTCTACGCCTTGCTTGTGTTTTCTACACAGTTCACCTGGGACGCCCACTCGGGGCTCGTGCTTCTCGCACATCCGAACAAAGGCGCGCACCGCCTGAAACAGCGAGCAGCCCCCGTCAACCGGAGAGCCGCCCGCGAGTGATGCGCGAGTGCACGATGGCCGGCGATGGCCGGCGATGGCCGCAAGGTTAGGCAACCCATGGCAACCCACTTGTTGGCTCGGTGCTCGGTGGGTAGAAGATCTCACACAACACCCTACTCCCAGGATTTCCGAGGATCCTTGCTCACAACTTCTCAATGGCCCCGAGTGTACCTGGCCCAGTGCCCTTACCACGACGACACGCATGATTTCCGGCCTCCTCCCAGATCGAGTCAATCTGACAGACCTTCACCTGAGGCAGCAAACGCCGTCAAGAGGCCATGCTGGGCCATTCTGGGCCAATGCGCATGGCTGTGAGTCCAAAAAAGCGGGAAAAGGATGGAAGAGGTGCCTTTCCTTGCCTCGCTTGCGCCAGCGCGTGCTCGCGTGCGAGTCAAACACTCATGCCGCCTCCCTGCGCGTCCCAAAAGAAAGGTGCGTCCGCTCGGTGTCCGCGCGAGGCGATGGAAAGCGAAGGCATCGGTCTCGATGCATTGCGCCTCCATGATACGGAACCTGGACGTTGGTGGTGAAGTGAACGTCGACCATGCGCACCGGTTCGAACGTTCAGCTCTAGGTTTGGGGACGAGCCCAAGAGCCAGGTAAAACCAGGTTGGTACATCAGACGGTGATCATGCTGCAAGAACATCAGCGATAGTGGATGGGCATTGGAATATGTCTTGAATGTTTAACTACCAAACGAGACCAAAGGAACACACGGGGGCCAATTGAACTGCATCAAAGTTACTTGTTGAGTAGTATATACTCAGGTCCAATATGAAGCCTCCAATCAAAACGTACTCTGGCGCTTCGCCCACTGGCACGAAGCAGCGCTTTGATTGGGGGGGGTTTTGGACCACATCCCTCGTTTGGTCCCTTCAGGTCCTTGCGACCGGAGGCTTTGCTTCGACGGCAAGTCACTTGGTGCGCTTCGACCATGATGGATCGAGCCGTTTTTCTTCGACTCTTGAGGTCACGAGACAACAAACACATACAAAAACGCCGACTGAGTGCTGAACTTGCTGGAAGGCCACTCAGTCGGTTTTTCCAAGGTTTTTCCCCGCCCTTGATGAACTGGTCAGGAAAGGTGGAATTGATTGCAAAGACGTGCCGAGCGTATTCATTGTCGAGATCCTCCATCACATCACATCCTAAGTCAAACATGCCACCCGTCACCCAACGAAAAAAAGACAAACACGTGAAATCCTGAAATCCCCCCCCCAAGAATCCAATGCTTTGCCGTTGTCTGGCCCAAAACTCCCCATCTTCGGGCCCCCCGACAGCTCCAGCGCCCTTTGCCACGACAAAGAAGGCAGTCGGAGTGCCGCAGTGAAGGCCACGGCGTTGGCGCGCACCGAGGCCTAAGCGGTCTGGCAGGTCTGGGGGTGGTGGGCCGGGTCAAGGTGGGTCTGGTGGGTTTTTGTTGAATCATGCCCCAAACAGTGTGGCCACACTAGGAGTTCTTATTACGGTAGTATGAGGGTGTCTGATCGGAGGTGTGCGCATAATGTTTTTGCTCAATCATCCTTTTAGTGTGAGAGTCGGGTTGTTTTGTCGAGCTGTGCCAGTGTGTTTGGGCAATTTGTTGGGTGTGGCCCTGGATGACGTTGTTTGGAAGAACTGGACCAACGACTGTTTGATGTGCCCCTTCTTTTGGGATGTTTTTGGCACTTGGTCGGTTTGGTGGGTACCTCTGCTTGTGTATCATCGCTGACCTGTACCTGTCCATACCTGTACCCTCGAAGCAGCTCGGTACACATCAAGCAGCTCGGCTGCCGGGTCGCGCCCCGCGAGCCCGCGCGCCCCGCGAGCGGGCGCCAGCCGCGCCTCGTGCATCTGCTGCAGCAGCAGTTCCACCTGATCGAGGGCGCGCTGCTCGCCCCGGTGGCCCCGTGGCGCCCGGTGGCCCCGCGTTCGGCTGGGACAAGGAGGCGTTGTGTAGCTCAAAAAGAGTCAGAGCCAAAGAACCGGAAGGTTCGGAAAATAGACCAGCAGCAGCATCAGCAGCCGCAACCTCACATGGCTCAGCGTTCTGGCATTATGGCATTGGGCTGGGCCCTGGATGAGGTCGTTCAAGATCAAAAGCAACAACACTTCAGTCGTTCTCTCCCAATTGTTGCCACCCCCGACCTGCTCGAACTGGCCAGCCTTCGCGCACCTCAAGACAGGAGGGGTTCTGCTTGAGGATCTGTGGCGGACTGGTTTGAGATGTTTCATCTTCTTGCAATCTCACTTCCGCGAGGTGAAACGGGTCGAAATATGTCTGAAATCATCCAGCGGGAGCTCAGAATTGGGATGGTTACCTCACCGCAGCGGTAAGCGGCAAACATCTCATCTTTATGGGATATGTTGATATGTTCTGTAAGTTGTGACCAGAAATTTGGAGGCTCTCAAAACCACATCCACCATAACAAGCACCACCCATATCTATCACCATATGGAGGCTCACCATCCACCCATCTATCCACCCCGACTTCACCGACTCGTCGCGACGTCCATCCGGCCAGAGCCCCCCGGCGCAGCGATGGCCGCGGAGTGGGACACGACCTTGGCCGGACCGTTGCGTCACGGGGTGTCCGTGACATGGACAGCAAAGACGCAGGAATGTGCCAAGCAGGAAGTAGCCAAGCTTGCGCTCTCTTCGCGCTCTAGCCAAAAGGGCTCTCTTGCCACTGTCCGTCCAGAAACCAAAAACGGCAGCTCACCTCTGTGTTGGGCACCTTTTGGTTCACCTCGTTGTCACATCCCTTTGACACAGTTCGACCGGTCGGAGTCCGGTTCGGAGTCCGGTTCGACCGGTCCACAGAAAAGGAATCCCAATCCGTACACCCCCGTTGACTGACTGGTGCTTATACTAAGGCAATGAGGGAATGATAGGCAATGGATACCTTCGGTATTTTATATCCCGGAAGATTAACAATCGGTCCACTGATGGCATAGACCTTCGGAAGACGATTTTCCTCTACAACCCGGTGGGTTGTCGGGTTCCATGTGGGTCTCGGAACCAGGGCGTATGTGTCGTCGTCTTGATCTGAGCCGTATTTTCCAAACGCGCCGCAAGTGAACTGTTCAGGTCATCTGACGTGGGAGTGCGTCTTGAAATCGAAGTCAGACTGGGAGCTCTTCGGGGAGGACGGAGTGAAGAAAAATAAAGAAAGGGATGATATGGTTGATATGGATCCCAACGTCCATATCATCCCAACGTCCAATATCATCCCAACGATATAGTACGTCCATCCCAACGTCGTCATCTCTCACCACCCTGGATGCTTCGAGAAGACCGAAGGGTTTGGAGACACGGCTGGACTTCCCAAGATCGACTGAGGCTGGAGCAAGGCTGGGGGCCGATGACGCCCCAAACAAATGAAACGCCATGGCGAAACGTTGGAGATCTTTCATCCCGAACTCCCAAACCGAATGGCATTCATCACCCTTGAAGGTTCACCGTGTCGTGAAGCATCCCGAAGTCTACCCGCCATGCCAGGGCCAGGGCCGTCATCTCTGGAGGTTGGCGGAGACACTCTTGTGCTCTCTCCCCCCAACGTTGGGACACAAAACTGGGGGAGTTGTTAGGAGGCCACCTGCGTCCTGCAACAAACTCTTTTCATGTCTTCATCCCACCGCAAAAAGAATACCATATGAATCCATATGATACCATCATAGAAACATATAGAAACCAGACCATGTTTCGCTCAACCCCTCCGCTCCACTTGGCACGTGTGTAGACAACGCAGCACAACGCAGTGTGTGTGGCCAGCGCGATGAAATCGCCATGCAAAGGCGATGTCTCGACCGGTGGCCCGCGATGTCGGACTGAAAAAGGTTCCACACCATGCAACGAAGAATAACATTGCAGCTGATCGGATGGGAAAGATGTCAGGAGTCAAGAGCCATGTTAAGCATGCTCTCATGTTAAGCAATGTCACGGCCCTGCGTCCCGAGCGGCGTTCTGCTGCAGCGACCGGCGGCCCAAGTCCTGGAAGAGCTGCAAGGCCTTCCGTTCCGTGACACGTTCTAAGGCACGAAAGAACGCTGTCAATCGACGGATGTGTCTAGAGCGGAACTCTGGTTGGAACCCGTGGCTTCGTTATGCTTCGTTCATGACTCGTGGCTTGGGTGAAAGTGACGTGTTGCTTCGACCTGAGTTGCGATGGGTCTCGCTATTTCCCGGTCGACTTCTTATGGCATCCGTTCTTACATGTTCTTATTTCAACTATTTTCAACTCCACAAACTCAACAGTTCCTGCAGTACTGACTCACCTCCTCCTCGCAAACACCCAACAGTTTGAAACACCCAAGACCCTGAGGGCCTCCAACCACCTGCCAGATTGCTTGCAGGCAGTCATCGCTGACACCACCGCCACTTCCTTGGAGCAATCTCTGGCGTATCTGTCGTAACCACGAACGAAGAAGAGCCCTGACTGGCATGAAACACTGTCCGTATATGTCCTTTTGGTCCTTCACGTATCTGACCCAATACTCCCACTCTCTCTTGCGATCACCACTCGAGGGAGGGAGGGCGATTGAAAACCAAAACATCACCTGGCCCGAAACCCGAAGCTCACCTCCGTTCGCCCATCACTTTCGAACCCCCTCCGCACTTGGCGCTCCCGGCATTGGGCGCCCAGTCGCCGTAACGATCACCCTGCCAAAAGAAGTGGAGGGCCCTGGCCGGCAGGGCGTCGGGCGTCGGGGGGCAGAGGGGCCACCCGAAGTGGCTGGGCGTGGCTGAAAGGAGGATGGAGAAGAGGCATCCTCGGCCCTCACCATGCACGTCAATGCACATGTCCAAGAATCAGGGAGAGAGCCCTCCAAACCAACTGGCGAGAGCCTCCGGGGACGTAAGAGCCCCGACTGGGCAGCAGGGAGTGAAATGGAGTGAAGGAGCTGAGCCTGAGAAAAGGGCAACGAACAAGGGCGCTGTAGCAATCTGACTTGGATCAAGCACAAACTTTTAGACAAAGGATGAAACAATATGAAACACCTGTATGACAGCTACAGTACCAAGTCATACCATTTCACTCTAGGATTACAACACCAGACCACCAACTCATAAAATGTCTTAGTTGTTAGAAGCCTCCCCTCAAATCAATCTTTCTAGGAGCAGCAACAAACAACAACAAACCGCTCCACCCCACCACCCAGACTTCTCATGCTTCTCCAGCCTCTGCCACTGCAAACCCCGGCCACATGCACCAATGATAGTGCCCAGCGTCACCACATTGGGCCGCAACTGGAATCACGAGATTGCTGTGTCAGTGGCGGCAGCGTTGCGAGTGGGGAATCCATTCTGAACAGGGAAGACCTCTTGTGAGAAGCTTCTCTTCTGAAATTATCTACACTATAAGTCACTATAAATGAACTGAGAGAAATAGAAGCCTTCTAGTTGTAAACTTGCAAGGGAGTACGATATCATGTCCATGTTTGTTGCTCTGGTCTTCGTTCATGACACGGAAGTCTCTTGGATGTCTCGACGCGCCATTAATGCGGTCCTGTGGTGGTGGGCACGGGTGACGCAACGGGCACGGGCCGTGCCTTACGGTGTCTGAGGAGATCAAAGTGCTGCAAGCCCAACCTGGACGGCAGAAACGGGAGTCCGTCTACAGACCGTTGTCACAACGGTATCAAGCCCCCAAAAACATGTCTGGGTGTGGACGTTCAAGTTTCAACATAGAAAATGTATGAAACTGTTGTATAAACTGACAAAATTCATCGAAATACCCATACATCATGGTGATTCACATGGCTGGGCCAGCGAGGCCGCCGGTGGACGCCAGTCGAGGCGCTCCCACCGTTCCCACTGTAGCGCAGCGATGGTCGTGTTGAAGGTCACCACATCCGGAGGCACCTCGCGACCGCGACGACGAAGCGTCGCGTGCGACGCGACGGCTGAAGCGACGTGGTCCCTGGTATCTGGTACAATGTCAGGTGTTATGTTTGCGTTTGACCATGACGTCTTGTCCACTGGGAACCCGAAGCATGAACAGGGTGTGCGGCGCGGTGTGCGGAGAAGTGATAGGATCAAAGCAAAAAGAAGACTGGAAGAAGCCACTCGTTTGCGTATTGCCGCACTGCCGGTCTTGGGTCTGGGCTTCTTGGTGTCACCGGCGGCACTTCACGCCGACAGCCCGGTGATCCGTCCGTGAGTCGAAACGAAAATGGCAAGCACTGCTCCTAGCTTAGTGACCTCCGGGAGAAAATTTGATCCCTGGAAAACGCCATATTGATTTTTATACATACTATACTCCACTCTACTATACTATGCCTCTACATACATAAATGACCTCAGGAGTTCAAGAGCGTTGAGGTAGATCCTGTCTAATCCGGCAATGCCTCAAAGGGCTCTCCAGCAAATCGACATTTCAGCAGAACCCTGTAGGATCCTGTAGGTCTTTTTTTTAGGATATCAATCGGATGTATCGGCTCGCGGCTCGCAAGATTCTTGTGCGAACATGTACAAACATGTGCAAACCTGTTAAGTGATGAGATCTATGATCCAAGATACAGTCCCAGCTGCCTTGATAGGTTGTAGCATGTTGTAGCCCCTTTTTCAGGCCAACGATCGACTCAAGATGTGCTTTCCCTCCCCACAACACAATCAGCACAGGGGGGTCTTATGTGGTGACAACGGGTCTTCCATGGTCTTCCTGCACTTCCCTGTACTCTAAAGTAAGTTCTCCGAACTCCGAACTCCCCTTACTACCCACCATGCATCATGGATCCACATGCCCCGCCGCGCGACACACGCCTCTCGGTGCAGCATCTCCTGGAAAAGCTTCAAGACTGGCGCCCAGTGGGAGCCGCGCTCCTGACACACCGAGGTCCGTCCGCTGTCGGACGAATAAACCCATATGAATAGGAGAGTGACTCTCCGATAGTAATAAAACCCATATGAAGAGGATAGTCCAATTCCAATGCGGGACGTCTATGAATTCGAGTCTACATTACAAACCACCCACCACCCTGTGGCGGAGGACCACATGTCCGGGACCCAGAAGTCGAAGTTGGGCTCCGCGGCTCCGCGGGGTTTTCGACCCAAGTTGAGGGGCGAGGGGCTTCAGCTGGGAGACTTGGGAGCTTGGTCTGTGAACCATAGCTTTGCTGGTTTCGGATGGCACAAAACTCCGCAAAACCTACCTACCGGACAGTCCGAGCCTACAGAAAATTGGACAGCAACCTGGAATGAGGCATGATGCATTATAATCAGCCCAATCCCTTAGCAAGCCATGTCTCTCTAACCAGCGTGCAAACAGGATGAGTCTACTTTCGTAACCAATTTGGGAATCACCATGCTAGAATCTGAGCGCCCCCAACCCATGCATTGAGCGCGGTGTTGTAGGAGATTTCGTTGGGCGTCAGGCGCTCGCGCCACTTGTGGAACCTCACACCATTCGGAAATGGTGTGCAGGCCGTTTTTCTCAAGCAAATGGAAGTGACAGTTTGCCCTGGAAAAACTAAGATGAACTGCCAGGAAAACTGGGGAATCATGTTCCATGTCCACTACGGGCTTACTATCATTCTCCCTTCAGTTTCGAGGACACATTCCACCCGATGTGGTTCCGCATGTGGTTCGATGCATGTTCCGACCCTCCAAGCCCAACCGATGTGCCACGATGTCCCTCCCAAACCGGCTGACGGTCGTCCGACCAGGCTGCAACTGCAACGCGTGAGGCCAGGCTTCAGCGCGCGTGCAGCAGCTCATCGAAGCATTCCAGGCCTCGGGAGGGGTAGGTGACCCCTGAGCCATTTTCCCTGGAAAGTAAAGGTTAACCGAACTTCCACCGGTAGTTGTTTAGTGCGGAAACCAACTTCAAAAAATGGTTTCCAGGATGTTAAAGGTTGTCCACTGACTCGTGGGTTGGGCCACCAGTCACCAGATGAGTTGGAGGCTATTGGTTGGGTGTATCCCATTCCCCGTAAACACACTGGATCACACATCCTCGCTATCGGCGTATATCGGTGTCACCAGCCCAATCAATGACATCCTTCACTGCAGCACCTCACTGCACCTCACGAAGGACCTCGTGCTCGTCCGCGAATGCGACCCGGCAGCTCTGAGGTCAGGCTCCACCATGCGACTGTCGCCTCAGTTCACACGAGCGGGGAACTGGGCGGCAAAAAAGGGGAGGGACCCTGGATGGCCATGAAGTACCATGCAACATCAGCACCATATAGTTGCTAGTGATCGGATGGTACTTCATGGCTATCAAACATGATTTGATTTGTCTGGTGCATTCGGCACCAAACATCCTGGTATCTGGTATTTCACGCTTCCTCTCATGTTGTCAGAACAGCGTGGGACTTCGCCGTGGGGGACGGACTCCGTGGACGGACTCCGCTCGGCGAATGTCCCAGACCGAAGGACCCTTCGACCAGGGAGAGCAGGGAGAGCAGGGAGAGCAAAGAGGATCGAAGGGGCGGCCGCATTTTGTTCTTCTTCCGTGAGATGATCAGGGGGATCATCTGGAGGTGATTTGAGCTTCACAAATACCTAGCTTGGCTAGTTGCTTAGATTCGTGCTGTGTCGTGCCTAGACATACTGAACACGGTGTTGTTTTTGATGTAGTTCTATTACTCAATCATTACTCGGTGTTGCCATCAAGTATCACACCAGAATAAAGAGCTCACACGGCTGATCACAAGTGTGCCAGATCTGTCGAAGAAGCTCAGCGGAGTTGCACGCGCACAACAAATAGATATAGAGAGTGGCTAGGCGACTCCGATGTGAATCCAGTTTGAAATTAAGGGTGTAGCAATGCATGCATAGAAGGACTCTCACAGCTGGGAAAGAATCCTGAAAGCGTGCTTCTTGTGCCCTTGCCCTTGCAAGCACCTAGCATCTCGGCGGTGAAACGCATCGTTCGAAGCCGAAGCCGAAGCCCCCTTTTCGACGCGTCCAAAGGCTCGGAACGAGACCAAGCGGGACGGGCACCCTTCGGTGTAATGTGTCCGCTGGCCCGGGACATAGCGGCTATAGCGGCTAGGGAATGGTTTTTCTCCGGAAGCGGTGTGATAAACCATGGTGAGATTTGGTGATTTGGGCACACACTTTCTATCCAATGAAGCTCTTCATGAAAGTGCCGCAAATCATTGATTGAGGTGGCTGGAGTTGGAGGGAATTGGGTTGATTTGGAGCCTCTGGCGAGGTTTGCTGACTCTCTGACCTACCTTGCAATTGTTGCATGAGGAATGCTGTCACCAGTCAAATGCGGGTCTTAAAATGATTCAATCATAATATTCAATGATAATACATGTATTGTAATATTCAATCAAATAGATTCTGCAGCTCTGCAGGTCTCCACATGCTGCCGGTCGCTGCTGATGAACTTCACAGCGTCACAAACAACTTCAGCTGAACTTCACCTTCTGAGGGTTCGTACTAACCGACCCATCCGAACTCCAGCACTGTGACCAGCTACCGCCGTCCACCCGCTGCGGTCTGTGAATCCGGGCTCAACAAAAGCAGGACTTGCTGCCAGCACCTGCGCTTGAAGCAGAGGCAGTTTCCCCAAGGCTTCGGCTCATTGATATCTGGGTGAACAGGGCTTTCGACTCAGCAACTTCTTTTCCCGGCCTTTGAATGTTCGATCTACCACTTGGAACCCGTACCAAGTGTGTTCGAGGGCATCCAGTTGGATGGTGTTGAACCGTTTTGCTTTCCCATTTAGTGTGCACCACTGTGTGCACCATACCTTGCTGCAAGGGAGATGTTGGCGCTGCGCAATCGATTCAGCGCCGGGGATTCGCTCCTCGCGAGAATTCCTTCCAGAAACCTGTCACCACGAGGAACCTGAGCGATCACAAGCATCCCCCCTTGACTGACTGGTGCTTAGCAAGGAAATGAGGTGGATACCTTCGGTGTAGACCACCCGGGAAGAGCCCCACATGGAACCTGAAAAACCGACCTTTGGAAGACGATTTTCCTCTACAAGCCGGGCGTGGTGAACTCAGGTTCCATGTGGGTCTCGGAACCAGGGTGGTCTACACCGAAGGGGTCATTCCCTCACTCTCGTCTACTCAGCACCCGTGGCCTTTCCACTGGCCCCTGAGTGGATCCGTTCGGTTCCGGAGCCGAGCACGGGCGGGGCGGGTCAGCGGGTCCTGCACACTTTGGATGGGTGAAGCATGTTTAATGGGTCGCCTCCTGAACGGGCAAGTGAACCTTCCAGTAAAGAAGGTCCAACACGTTTTTTTGTTCAGTGTATCCGTTGGCTAAGTGAGGGCAATCAAACAAATAGGAGCATCCCATCCTGCAACAAAACCAACTCACTCTCGTTTTCAGGATATTCATCAACAAGAAACGCATTGGAGAACCTTCCAGTCGTGACGTGCAGGAGAACGAAGCTTCCATCCCAAACTCTGACCAACTCTTCCAATCAGGGGGTGAAACCTCCCTGGTCTTTCGAATGCATCCACCTCTTACCATGGCTCAACAGCTGAGTTCGCCCAGCCCCCCATGGCCTGCTCTGCTCCAGCGCCGAGACGCAGGCGCCCAAGGTGGCCCGGTCGGGGTGCACCTCCCACCGTTGGGCGCTCGGTCTGGGTGCAACGAGAAGCGCTCGGGACCATCGAAGGTGCCAGAAGGACGAACCGACACCACGAGGCCCAAAGCCTTCAGTCATATGTTTGCTCTTCTCAGCTCAGCTCTTCATATGCAAAAACCAGTTCCGGAAGTTTCAAGGACTTCAGTTCTCACAGGGAAACAGGGAATGAGCTCTCGTGCTGGCGTGACTTGGGACCCTCCGAACAGGTTATATAATGAGGGTCCACATACTCTACAGCTGCATTGACTTCCCTTGGTGCTCTTCTTGAGGATAAAGTTGCCAAATCCCAAGAAATGTCTACTGTAAGTATGTCTATGTCTCTGTTTCACCACTTGCGGCAAGTGTTGATACTTGAATCGGGGTCAGGATCCTGCTAACGAGGACCAATCTATTGGACATCAGCACCATCAACACATTGACAGTTGCAACAACCTGCGATTGCACGAAGCACACATGCATCTTGTCAAAAATGTGAATACGCCCAGAAACTGGTGGTATCGCCAGGCTCCCAGCCTCCCAGGCTCGTTGAACAAAAATAACTCTCTGAAAGTCCCCAAGACGTTTTTGCGATATCTGGCCTTGGATGTGTACATGTCCTGCCCCGCGTAGGAAAGAGATGGGATGGGTCACAGCAGTTTGCTAGATCACCCAAAGAACAAGCTGTTCATCGAAATTATAGCCCACCTCTAGGCATCTTTTCATTCATTAGCTCCACCAAAAAATTCCGAGGCACGCCAGCAAGGCCTTACTAAAGGGAACAAGGCCAAGGTCCAGTGGCCTCTTCATGCTTTCGCTTTTTCAATCATTCACACGATGTGCCCTGGTAGCGTTCAGTGCCTAAACCGTTGCCGGGATCTTTGAGGTTGAGGACGGGAGAGGACAGATTGGAGGTCTGCCCTGTTCTCTTGGACCCAATAGATTGAGATCATGTCTTTTCTATAAAATATGGTCAGCACTTCAATTTGATCTCTTCTCAGTCAACCCAGCATGCCCTGAAGAGTCTGGCAAATGATCATTGAATCAATCAATGCTTGTCTTCAGTCTTCAGTTTCATAGAAGCGCTGACATTCCTACGCCAAGCGTTCTTGCTGTACTGTGAACAAGTTGATCCACCAACCTACACATCTTTACATATCCTACACCCGCATGAGGCCGCCATGAGGCCCAAGGAAGGTCTCATCAGCAGAACTACTTCTCCCCGCAGAGTTCAAAGGTCTGTGATCAGCTTGGCGCCTGTGTTGTACTAGAATATACTAGAATATTCCAGAAAAAAGCTGCCATTCCAACACCTTTTTGCGTCTTTTATGTATATAATTTTGGAGACATTCTCCTGATGTGTATCTAGTGACTGGAATGCAACTCAGGACATTGGCCTTCTTCAGGTCTTATGATTCTTATGCTGAGGAATGGTGTTCCACGAGACCATTCTTCAAAACAACCCCCCAATCCCATATTTGAGGCCATATCTGGCCGCTGAAGAACTATGAATTCATATTAGGACCGAGACACGAACCTCGAGTCACAGAGAACTGTCCTCGAGTCACCGAGGTTCCCCGGAGTCAATTGACGGAACGTGCGAACAGTTCGAGCAGTTCGGTCCTCGAGCAAGGCCATGGAACTGGCCCAAGCGACCTGGAGTCGCTAAGAGGGTATGAAAGCGTGCAAAGGAGGGTGATCGTTATGGATTCTTCAGGGTGAATCTACAGATGTTCGAAGGAAAAAACACACCTGGAGCCATGGAAGCAGCAATGGACCAAATCTCTGGTAAATAGCAACCTCTTGAGGATGGTCATGATTGGGGCCCCCTTCCCCTGTCCATTCTAAACCACCCGGGACCCGGGCCGACCCAATTCATGACCATTAAGGGATTGGAATGAAAAAAACTGATCGTAGTGCCTTGGGAGAAACATCTGGATCCGCACACGGGTACAGCACGGCCGACTGCTGCATGAAAAAGACCGTTACTTCAAATCACAACTTGCATTTCACAACCAGTTGATGATATAAAAAGAAACACGCACACACACAATGTATAAAATTGATGATGATGATGATGATGATGTAAGCTGAAAGTGATCACTAACTTCTCCAATCTCATCAGTTTTTCAGGAAAGCGTTGCACAGATCGAACACCACACCGCTCCCGACACCTCACCGCTCCTACTGATCGGTGACGGACCAGGCTCCAAGGCTCCCGGACGCCCCGGGCGTAGGCGCTCAACGTGGCGTTGAAGCTGACCACGTTGGGCTTCGGGAAGGTGGCGTCACGGCGCCTGGGTGGTGGGGTGCCTGGTGGGTGGCTGCTGGTGCCAACCCGATGGAACCACAAGGTTGGGAGAGCATGTAAAAGTTCAAACACATTGATCACTTTATATATTGTGTTATATATACACCTTACGCAAGTGATATCGTTTCAAAACAACGATTTCTTGAGGCTCATGTTCCACTTCGATTCATGTACTCTGCTGGATGCTGGGTCAGAACACAGGCACCAATATCATAGACCACTCGTCATCTCTTCCAAAGCTACTCCTCTTGCCTGGTTGCAAACAGTTGATTCACGTGCTGGACGTCGGAAAACTAGTAGTGATGGGGAAAGAGTTCGGTCTCGCGTCTCCCACCAGTTTGGTGTGTTGCCACATCCTCCAAGTCAGACCCAGGCCGCCTCTTCTTGTTCAGGTCTAGGTCTCTTTCATCTCAAGAGACCAGCATCAAACGAGTCATACGGGATATACCCTAAATTGGCTAAATGCACCGTTTGATACCCCAAGAAAAACTGAATGGGGCGACCGGCGACATGCAGCCACAGTCTCTCGCGTCGGAAAGGATATCAGAAGGGATACCTAGCTCGTCTCCCCAAGCAAGGCGAGCTGCATCCGATTCAAGAGCTCTGGTGCCAGCCTTAGTGCCGAATGCCAAAGTTAGAGAACATAGAAGCCAAAACTAAAACATCTATTTAAAGAAAATCTCAAGAACCAAAAAACAAAGAATCAAAAAAAAAATGAACATATAGTAATGTAGGAAGAGACGTCCTCTCCAACTGCATTTCAGACACTGGCTCTTGCTGGGAAATGCTCTTCGACATATCTGCCCCGTACAGAGTATATTATATGTAATAGATGACTATAGATATTCGGATGGTCGATATATATATATATATGATATCGATATATATATATATAATACCAGCTGGACAGGCTTAAAGAACGATGATGTGTCTTCCCACACCACCGTTCTGGTCGGCCCTAAACAGTGTGAAAACCTTTTGACTCGGCAAAGAGCGCCGAGTCTCATGGTTTCAGTGTCTTGGCGTGAACAAAAAAAATAACTTGCTTTTCGGGCTAGGCTAGACGTGTGAATCACAAATTTTGAGAAAAACAATCCGGATTTCTTAGGGTTTGGGGGGTCTCAAACCATGCCAAGGATACCCATAAGACTACTTCTGAGGTCGAAAACAATTGTTATCCTCAATAGTCCTTGTGGTTGGTTCCCTTCTGTCAGACGTTGCTCCCGGCTGCCAGCACGCTCGCTGAAAACAAATCCTCCGTGTTCAGACCAGAGAAACCGCGCAACGCGACCTACACGGCACAAATGTCTTTGCACGGCATCATCGGTAGGGGGATACAGTGTGTGGCCTCTTTGCGCAGATGATGTGTGAAGGAGAAACCATACAGTAAATGTAAGGGTTGTGCAGTATCAAGGCCAACGACCAATTTCAATATCGATGACATATCGAATGCACATGAATGAACTAATTATACTACATAATAAGTACTATATAATATAGTCAGATAGTATAGTATTGTGATGAGCTAGACCGGGACCAAACAAGTCACCAACGTCTTACGTCACCTGACACAGCCACAGCACCACGCCCGCAATGATGCCACGCAGCCGTGATGACGCCGTTGTAAACACTCTCTGTGCATACCTATATGTCTGCCCTACTCTGCTCTACCCCCAATCAAGGCGAATGTTGAGAGGGCAAGGCAACAAACAAGAACCCTCCCCTTCGCATTCTCTACAGTCGTCATTCCACTGGCATCGCTTCACCACTCCCCTTCGTTTGACTCATGGACATCCCCGCCAACATCGGGCTCCAACACCAAGTCCATTCCCGAAGCCCATTGCCACAGTCCCCTCAGCCCGCCCTTCTGGTGGTTCCCGGAGCTCATCCCGCCACTGAGCTCCCCCAGCTGCCAAGCATCGCCCTTGGCCACGGAGGTGATGACCGCATTGCAACTGATCACGTCGAACCTTAGAATAATGAGATCGACAAGTTCGGTCCTATGCTTCGCGTGGACTTTTTGATAGGTGTTTCGCGCACGCGTGGGGAGAATATGCGCGTGTTCCAGTCTGGGGACGAATCATGGAAACGCCGATGGAGCCTGAAATAAAGGAAGACACCGAACTGAGACGTGTCGAAACTTGAAAAAGACTGGAACACGTCCGAACGTCCGAAGGCAACCAGCGAAAGGCACCAAAGGACAAGCAAAGAAGGAACTGGTCGATGTTGAAGCCCAATACCTTCCCCACCTTTGGACCTAGTGCGCTGTCACAACTGGCAGGGCTTGGAAGAGGCTTTTCAGCATCGTTTCGGCCTCACATATTACCCGCAGCTTTGGCCTGCTCCACTTGTGTGAGCACGCTATCTGCCAGCACAACTTGTTCAAATGACCCACAGCACTCGATCGCCTCCTTCGCCGGCGCGAAATCGCACCGATCCGCGCCGTGCGGTGAAGAACGGAAGCGGCTGGCCTGTCGGTTCGAAGAACCAACCGCGGACAAGCCGAGAAAAACAGGTGCGTCTGTTACAAACTCAATCTCCACAAAACATGCCGCTCATTTGTGCCGTCCGTGTACTGCATGTGAGAAAGATCTCGCAAATATGGCAAGCAAGAGAAGCAAGCAAGAAAACGTTGCCTTGAATAGCGATGCGAAGAGTGCATGTATTGGCATATAGAGACCATATACTTGTATACGGATTATGAACTCCAAGAAAGCTGGCACTGTGGTGCACGGGGCTGATCCAAGATTTGGGATGCTTCAGAAAGTGAGCTTAGAGTATTCGACACTTGAGTGGTGACTGCAAGAAGTGCGACGTTCTGGAGTGATTCATGGCTCCTACAGAACACAGAACTGAAGGCCTCTTCCCCGCCATAGTCTTCTGTCCTTCCTCTATCGGACTGTGTGGATTGTGTCGAATGGGAGGACACTACTTCACGGATGTGTCCTCCAGAATCCCCCTCCCAAAAGAACGAAACCGTTTCCAATCATGGAGGGATCGCTCGAATCATGGACCTCACGACAACCATGGGGGTTCTGTGGAAAAAAGGCCGGTCCATCGTCAGGAGGCATGTTAGTTAAAGTTTCAACTGATAAGCATTTGTCGGTAGAAGATGTTTTAAGGGACCCAACACTATGAGCAACACACATAAACACTCCAACCCGCGCGATCGTGATGTTCCAGCCCGGTAGCTGCAGCTTGAGCTGCCTGGCGGCGAGAGTAAGTAGGCAACCAGGCACATACCTTTCAATAATTTGCTTCATCACTTGATACCAACTGTATTGTTGTGTTGGAAGCTACAGAGTGGCTACCTGAGCCTCATCAAGTTGGGGGATGGATATCTGTTCAGCCAAATTGCAGGCGTTGACTCAGACCCGCTGCCCAACCCATGTTGCTAACGTGTTCAGCGGGTCCTGTTTGGTCCTTGTCGGTCCGGTCGGTCCGGTCCGGTCCACCGTTTCGACTCCGTGGAAACGAAGGCTCCAGTGGACCAACAGGTGGACCAACAGAAGGCTCCAGAAGGCGAAAGAATGTCTGAAAGCTGTTGGTATCACTTTTTGAATGATGTTTAAGACTGGCTGTGGGGTAAGTCCACTCAGTATGTCCACAGTTCGCAGCCTGGAGCAAAAGTCACCGCAATTTGAGAAAGTGGAAGACAAATTCTCGCACGGCACACCCACAGGTGGCTAGGAGCCAAACATTAAAACCAGTTCGCCTGACTCGACAAGAGTCTAGGACTTGATGAGAAGAAAAACCACCAAACATAAAATATCTAAGACCTGAACCAAGTAAAAACTCACATCTGATGCGGACTTCACTCACATCTTCCCGAGTTTTTCGAGTTAAACGTGTACAACACCGGTGGGTTTTGGACGAAGTCCCTGCCCCGCAAAGTGCATTCTCGATGGCTCCACCATTTGGGATTGATTAACAGGCAAGAAATCTCCCCCGCCCCGACATAGGTAGGAAATCTCGTGGTCCTTGCACAGACTTTCTAGAAGGTGTTGCCCATCAACACGAATCATATGGTCTTTGCCTGTCTTCATGTGTACTCTGAGCTGTACTCTATACATCTCTATACTATAAGACTCTATATCTATCTATCTATCTATCTATATATATATATCCTTCTGCCAATCGCCACCCAGATCCTCAAAAAAACACACCATCCTCGACTCCCGCCCCCCACGCCCCCCCCGCAGTCCCATCCCTCGCCTGGTTTCCTCCAACAGTCCCAGCCCTCGCTGCCACTGCGCTCCGCGGCACAGGGCTCCAATGGTCGCGCCGCGCAGCAACGCCGCGCCCGTGGCGGCCACGCGCCGCCCGGTGCGCGGACGCGCGGCCAGCTCGAGCTCGGCACGGCGGAAGGTCTCCAGCGCCAAGGGCCAACGGGACCTGACCAAGGGACAGATCATGAGGTCCTCCCAACACTCGGCGCGTTGAACTTGGGAGCACCGGCACTCAGCCCTCTTTTTGGTAGACAGAACTGGTGCTTTCTGAGACCTCAGGTTGCTCTGCGCTCCCCAAAAGCCACGATTTCGCGAAGCATGACCTTCGTTGGCGACCCCCTCACGCATCGAGGCCTACGACCTGTGCCGCACTTGTCATTGTAACTCTCTAGAACCTCTTCAGAGGTTAAGCGACCATGAATAGGACCCGTTACCTGTGGCACCTACTATGGGAGAGGAGAGGACGAAGGCTTCTTCAACCTCTGCTGGAAGGTCAGCCTCAATAATGCATCAGATCGGACGAAACAGCCTCAAGACCTCGCGAAGGCTAAGGTCCAAGATGTCCAACGAATCAAGTGAACTATTAAAATCAAATGAATTGTCCAAGGTCCTTGGTGCTAAGGCCAAGGTCCAAAGAAAAATCAAATGAGTCAATTTACGCAAGCATAGACCCCAAATAGCAAAAATACTTTTGTGGGCAGCACGCTGCAGCGGTACTCTGCAACACCCTCCAGCGGCGCCAGCACCCAAGCATACCCAAGCTCCAAAGCGCACACGGCCACATCTCTCCCTGCAGCGGCACCCTGCAGCGGCACCAGCACCCAAGCTCCAAAGTGCACACAGGCACCTCTCCCATACTTGAAGTAAGAACCCCAATATGGCCAATAGAGCCTCGCGTTCCCTCTTGGATGGACGTCCCGCCCCCCATTCCTCGTTCCGGTCACCGAGTCGTCCTGGGTCCTGGTCTGATCCGGTTTCACCTGGTGGGTGCTGGGCTGCCCTGCAAGCGCCCGAAGTTCCCAAGGATGGGCAAGTAATGCTTCATGAGCCATGGCGATCCGTTTCACCCTCGGAGCCTCGAGGATTCCAAGGCTTTTGATGCTTCTGACCGACTGAACGTGTTGGGGGACGATTTGGGACCCCGTTTGGAAGGGGAACGAAGGAACACCTGATCACCCAAAATAGATGGGGGAGCTAGGCATCTGCCATGAAAAAGGAACGGTAAAGCTTGCATTGGTTGTAAGGTCTGCGTATCCCAGTTGGAAATGACCAAATCCAGCCCCCAAAAAACCACTATCCCATGGTGCTACTCTGAATTGGGTGGTGGATATTTCGGCCACCTGGCCATGTGGGTCTTTCGGCCAGCGGGGCGATCGAGGGGGAAGCTCAGCTTCAGTTTATCAGCGACCCAAAACAGTTCGACCATGTAAGAAGTTGTTTCACATGGAAAGCCTCTTTCATGCTGGATGTCAACTAGACTTTCAAGACCTCTTCGCTTCGTTTGCAGCATGTTTGGTTCGTGACGAGCACGGTCGATCGGTCGATGAGTCGATGGTGGGACTGTGGGACCTGGGACTTCCGAAGGCTCATTGGGCCAAGCGGAAGTAGCCGCCCCGGCGAAGACATCACATGGAAGTGGAATATAGGCCCCTGGAAGACCAGGAGCTTTTTGCTCTAACAACACGGGGGTTGTCCATATCCCTGTACTGTAGTACATTTTTTGGGGGAACAAATCTCATCCACGAAGGTAGGAATGCTCACCAGCCACACAGCTGCGAGAAGGACAACGGAGTTTGATGCCAAAAGCTTCAGAAAAAAAAAAAAAAACAATAAAACATGTTTCTTGATCTTGCATGACCCAGACCCACCTCATTTTCTGGTGCTCAAGGACAACGTTCTGCACCACATCATTTAGTTTCAGAGGAAGTCCATATTATGGAAATGCCACACCACATTTTTTGGTGCTTTGTGGCAGGGGTCCAGTTTGAGGATTTCTCCCATCAACAGCAGCGTGTTGCTCCAAGGAAATCCAAACAAAGGAACGGTGAGAAAGTTCTTTACATTTAAATGACTGTTCTACTGGGGTGATGGAAGTACTCCACTTGGACCTGCAAAGACTGATCTGAACACCAAAATCAAAGGCATCTAACCATGTAAGCAGCGGTGCCCTTATGGCCGGGGGTCGAACAGGAGGCATGTGATCCCAGGGATGATGAAGAATCCTTTCCGAATGAGCTTATGATTTTTCCAGACTGTGGCTCCAATCGTGGCAACATCACCCAGCTTGCTGGGGGAGGAGCATCGGAAATCGGGTGCGTCGCCCGGAAGATGTCGGGGAAGATGTTGTTTGTTAATACAACTGATTGAGGAATCCGAAGCAAGTAAAGACGCGGTACCTTCCCTCTCTGTCACAACACCTCACAACCGAAACGGGCTGGGTAATGTGTTCAATTTATTGATGTCGTGGTGCCGCAGTACGTAAGTGTTACAGAACTGGTCTGTCAGAAGGGGAAACAGGTCCCTGAGAAAGGTGAACCGCAACACAAATGCCACATCTTCAGAAGTCATTCCTCAGGTCCCTCAAGTAAGTAGATTGAATATGGAACACTTCAGTATATATGCTATGGAAAAGTACAGCGACACCAAAACACAAAAAAAAATCACGTCACGCCCTCCATTGAGGGCGATTCTGGTTTCTTTTGTCAGTACTTGGGCCTTCCCCCAATTGACTTCAAATGAACAAAGAGTCGACGTCGGGCTTCACCCAACAAACTGTCAGGACCCACCTGTTTGCTGGTCCTTCCAGTTGCGGGAGTATTTAGTATAATTACGGCCAACGGTGCACCGAAGTCCCCATACTCCCCCTAACTACATCCCACAGTATTCCTTCTTGCGGAACAACATCTGGAAGTGCCGAAAAAATAAAATAAAAAACGATCGTCGTGCCGCCATGCCATACCTCCTCGGACATGTCCTCTTGGAAGAGCTGACTGAGCTCCTGTCACGGAGGTGTGAAGAAGCACGAAACAGCAAGTGAATAAGAAACCAACAACAGCCAGCAGCTAACCTTTCACGAATTACAGGATCAAGAAACCTGAATATGGTCTTTAAAGGTCTTGAGCATAGTGTATCTCTTTCCCCAATACGCGAACAAAGGGGCCTCCTCCCAAAAACGTTTATGTTCATTTGCATGAGCTCAGACTCAACTTCTGGTGTTTCGTCCCGATGTGAACGGATGTTTAAGATTGTCAGACATGTCTTGGAATGTTGTAACTCCATGTAACTCCACCCTCCGAAACCTTTGTCAAAATGTGTCTGTCTCTCTTCAGCTCTCTGGCTCTCCTCTCTCTCTCTCTCTCTCGCTCTCTCAGTGTCTGCGTCATGCAAATGGCCGAGTGGCTCCCTACTCACTACTCCTTCCGAAAAGAGAACAACAAGTCACCTGTGTGATCTGACAATCGGCATCATCCTCTTTAGCCCCCGCTTTCTTTGGGCTGCCATACCTTTTTCATCCTTTCCCAATGGTCCTACTGTCCTATTATCTCATGTTCCTGGTTTCCATCCAGCACCAACGATGACGCTCCAATGGCTTAGTCAGGCCACCCATCTGAGGCTGAGTCACACCGGGCCTCCATCAGGGACCTGCTGTTTTTAACCCCGACATCCAAACGTGTATATACGATCCAACTCGAACTCATATCGCTTCCGAAGGGCTAAAACCATATGGACAAAACTTCAATCTTAAGTCAAAATGGGGTCACTAATGATTTCACCGTCAAGGGCTTTTCCACTGTGAACATATTGACGGTTGAAATCATATTTGGTTCCACCGTCTCGCCTCAGATTCTCAGATGATGTTCGACCGGTTCCCCCGGTACGACCGCGGTCATGACGCGGGGCCACCGACACCTCCTGGGTCGTGACGCCTGCACTGATCAAGAAGTCCCGGTCCACCTGGGTGGATTGCGCGTAGCGAAAGGCGAGACTTAGGCGCGACTTAGGCGCCTGAATCACTTAAGGCACAGTATGGTATAGTATATTAAGATATATTAAATAAGGTACTGGTTTTGGTTAAAAGCCAATCGGAATGTGCAAACTACAACAAAATTTGCTCGAAGATTAGTTCGAAGTCGACTTTACATACCGGAATTGTCCCGCAGTCGACTAAATTGAGTGACCACTGTGCTTGGCGCAGTTGTTAACGATCACTCAATCATATTCAATCTAAAAACATGGTTACTCAAATCGAAACTTTAAATATGCCATCCGTCGGCCAGCTTTTTTGATCAGCGAAGCAATTGCACCACTTCCATGATCTTGCACGAGACCATGCAGGTCAGCAGCCACCAAAGCGGTTGAGCCGGCAGAGCGCTCCACCGCATTCTGGTCAGCTCCAGCCTTGAACCCAACACCCGCACAACTTCCAAGTGGCCATTCTCAGTTGCAGCCATCAAGGCAGTTTCCCCGCCTGCCGTTGCTACGTTCTCAGCCTCGAGCAACAATTGCACCACTTCCAAGTGGCCATGACGAGCTGCAGCTATCAAAGCGGTTAACCCATCTTGGCTCGCCGCGTTCTGGTCAGCTCCAGCATCGAGCAAGACCCGCGCCACTTCCAAGTGGCCACTAGCAGCTAGCAGCTGCAAGCATCAAGGGGGTTGTCTTGCATTGCGTTGCCGCATTCTTGTAAGAGCCAGCCTGGAGCAACACCCGCACCACTTCCAAGTGGCCATTCTTGGCTGCACCCATCAAAGCTGTTTGCCCAAATTGGGGGACTGCATTCTGGTCAACTCCAGCCTCGAGCAACAATTGCACCACTTCCAAGTGGCCAGTGAAAGCTGCACACATCAAGGCGGTTAACCCATTGTGTTTGGCCGCGTTCTGGTCAGCTCCAGCCTCGAGCAAGACCCGTGCCACCTCCAAGTGGCCATTACAAGCTGCAACCATCAAAGGGGTTGACCTCCAGCCTCCAGCAACAACCGCACCACTTCCAAATGGCCCTCCTTTGCTGCAAGATACATAGGTGGAGGGTGAGCGTCTGCACCTGTCCCATTGAGATTCAGCGGTTTCTGTAGCAAACCTGTAACTTCTGCAACTCTATTGTTCTCACACGCCAGGCGTAGTGCCTGCCAATTGGCCTCCTCAGGCACACAAAAGTCCAAGATTACCAACTGCAAGCTTGGTATTTGCCTGACAGGCATGTCATCATCTAGCTCACCCATGTCTGAACTCAATAATCTCCGAAATCTTGAAAATCCAATCTCTGTGGCAAGGAGAATCTTCAAATCCCTAATAGATTTTCCACTCTGGACAATGCAATCTGAAGCTGAGTGAGAACATTACCTGCAACCGTTACAATCTCCATTGCTCCGGCCTGAGGAGGAAATGGCTCTTGTGCCAAAATGGCTGTCGGCCAGCTTGGTGCAAAAGAAGCAAAAAAATAACCTCACCCCTGTGGGGTGCTTGTCCCCACGACGCATGACGTGGGCCTTGTTGGTCACCAGGCAACGAGGATGGCATGCCACTCCGCGTAGCCGGACCTCAGAAGTGATCTGCAAACGAAGTGCAGATTATCATGATTGAAGCTCAGCTCGAGCTCTTAATCCAACGATTCACCCATATTCACCCAATCATCATTTGGAGGGCACTAATCTAGACTCATTGATTAATTCACAACCCCATGTGAAGAGGTGTTTCAGGCCAAATGGGGTGGGTTTACTAATCAAGAGTCTACATGATTGTTGATTGCAACAAGCTTCTGGTGAAGGGTTTTTCTGCGGCCATTTTGTGGAAACGCCACCTACCAGAGTTGAAAGAACTTCCCCGAGCTCGAGTGCCATTGCACATAAACTATTGAGGGCAGCCTGTCTTCCCAAAGAAACTTAAGGGACACCACATGAATGGATCAAGACTTTCAAACATTTTCAGACATAGTAACTTAGTACCTGAGACAGAGAACGTTGGACTCGATTTGGTGGCTGCTTCTTTTGCATCAGAGTCCTCAGGAAGAGTAGCTATATAGTTATATAGTATTATATATGACATTCAACGTTCTTCTATGGATTCAAAGGACAAATTCTGGATTGGGAACCACTATCGACTAATTACTTATAAACCGTGTTTGAGATCTTGACTCATTATGGCATTGACTTGTTGGTCATGCACCTTTGAACAGGAGGTTCCCCGGAGAGAGATGGACCTTGCAGTTCTCCAAAAAGCTTCAACAAATTCTACAGCTTCATGGTGGGCCCATGCCTTCTCCCCCCATCATCTGACCATACTGGTATTACGGTATTACCAGGTTACCAGTAGTAGACCATCTCCCAACAACCCCAAACCTGCCTCAAACCTTCTGGGAAAGGAGAGGACGGGCAGCCGAACCAAAAGCTTCTTCAGCGCGCGAAGGTCTGGAGAGGACGGAAACGACGGCTTTGACGGGAAGGAAGGCGCTCGAACGGCAAATGACTTTACTTTACAGTGGTAAATGGTGTGGTGCTGCAGTTGTGTTTCGCATGAAAGGCAGGTTCGCGCTCCACTGAAGTGGCAACTGTTCTCCTGAATCTTCTTTCCTGTGTCTTTCTCTCCATTTCCAATGCCGTCACCGTCATCACCCTCATCACTCCCGCCGCAAAGCTCCGAACCCGCGCCGATCCGACCGCGAAGCAGATGCGATCACCGATCCGACGCGTGAACGCCTCGACTCATGGGCAGGTGCTGAAGATACAAGATCTTCTTGTACCAGTTGACCTGGGGACCACCATGCGGTTCGAACACGCGGCTCACATCATTGGACCATGGAATACGCGAAAAACACGCATTCCAATGGCATGAAATGGCAGTATATGTGTCAGCGGTTTTTTCGATCCCGCGCAATTGAGGTAGAGAAAAAGCTGGGGAAAGGATAAAACACTCAAGGTTCCGAGGAGCATTCGTCCTCGAATTTCCTATGGATTCGCACATTTCATGGATTGGCAACGAGAATCCTGCCAAGTTTGCTTGGAAATCAAACATTATTATAATACAGTATAACACATTCCAGGGACGACTCCAAAAAAGGAATGGCACAGCAGGCTTTGTGCCCATCTCTGTTCAGTTGTGTGGTCAAGCTCGGTCACTACCAAAATGCAAACCACGTCGGGGAATGATACCAAAATACACTGAATAATTACATGATGTTTGCACCCCTGCCGATCTTCAACGGCTGTTGGCCTATCCCAAATCATCCAGATTTCAACTGGCACTTCTGGATCATCACGAGGTTCTTCAATGGTGTCCTCCGTGGAGTCGGAGCAGGTCTTCGGTCTTCATCGGTGCCCCCGTGTCGGGGCCCGTCTCTCCCCGGCCCGTCTGCCTGCATGGGCGTCGATGGGAGCCAGATGTTGTGAAACATCTTCGGTGGCAGCTGAATCACCTGTGCACGCTGGAACCCCGCTGTTTCCACACCGTAGTCGGAGTTGTGAGCACACACTAGAGCCAGGCAGGCCCAGGCTGGGACATCGGTGGAGCATCCAGTCTTCGTATTCCTGTGTGGCGTGTTCCGTTGTCTTTGTGTGGTGTTTTAAACATACACAACACGAACACAACACGGTGCTTCGTCTTCAGGTAAAAACACAACAGCCTGTTGGTTTTTCACACAACCTGTTGGTGTTCATGAGGACGGGTGCTTCTTTCTTTGGACACGGGTATGACCCCCCACCCGTGGCCTGTCTGACGCCGGCGACTCGGGTGGGGGCAGGAACACCCGGCGTCGAGACCCTTTGACGCGCGGATGGGAGAGAGTTCGGGGATCACATGGGGGGGGAGAGAGCTCAAACGGCCGAGTACCGCCGTGAACCACCCATTTAATTCGGTTTCTGTGTTCGTAACCGCTGCATCACCCTAACTCCCATTCCAAACTCTGTCCGGCCACACCTCTTCCTTCCTCCGGCGCAGCATCACCAAACCCTGATCGTGGCGGACGCAGCAGGTCAAGTGGATGGTGAGGGGCTGTCCTGGGGTGAAAAGGAAAGAAACTGCTGTGAATCCGGGTCCTTAATGGTCCAGATCAACCTCAATTTCTGCAGAACAGCTTAATTACCTATTTGAGCCTATTTGGTCCTAAATCTTCAGCGTGCTGCTGATGATGTACACCCCCTTCCTTCCACGAGTTTTTCATGCTGATGTTTGTATTGTTTGTTGGCTTTCCTGTGGTGGGTCGATATGCCGCTCGGAACCTAGGTATGCTCATTGATGAAAATTTGATGCTGGGAAAACTGTCCAACAGCAGCTGCCAGAGACAAAGTCTCATGGCACCAGTCTTTAGTCTCGGATTCGGCTGCCTGGCTGCCATCCCCAAAGGTGAAACATGCCCGAACGGAGCGATTTCGGTCAAGGAGAGGATGCACAAGGAACATGTTTCCATGCTTCGAGTTGTTCGGTGAAATAGTCTAAAAAGGAAACTCGCAACTCCATCAGAGCAATCGCTGGTCAATCCCACAATTATTTCTTTTATATAAACTTTAAGAGTGTGCGTAGTTTATCATATCTCTGAAAAGGGCTGTCACAACACCGCAAATATCCCATCTTCTACCGAATTCTTGGATGTTCTGCCCAGGAATTCCATTCGCGACCCAAAAGACACAATCAAAAAAAAAGCAACCTGGGTCGACCTGTGCTCCACTGGTCCAGCTAACCGAGGAGCCAAAATGTGTCGGATCTTCTGCACCTCGACGAAGCGACGCGGAGGGACGACGGCTGGGCCGGCCACCGGTGGGACGAACCGGTGGGACGACGGCCGAAGCGAGAGAAAAGGACCCCATAACCTGTGCCATGGCCTGTGCCTGTGCCAGTGATCCTTTTTGTTGAGCCAGTCACCTGATAGGACTGCAAGGAAGCCGAGTACTGGTGTTGGCTCACGACCAAAAAAAAGAACGGAATCATTAGAAAGGGATAGAAAGGGCATTCCATGGCATTCCCCTCCTCCAGAACATCACATAGGTGGAAAGTCTCCTTAAATGTTAGAAATCATTGCCTCGAAAAAAATGCAGGCGTTTCTAGTTTGCTTAGTCTTTTGATGTCTGATTTACTGGTTGACAGGATGCTGAGAACACCTTTCAATCCTCCAATCACGGTCTCGTTCCGTCCGGTGTGACGAAACACCCAATTCTCTTCGGGTCCCTCCCATTCCTTCATCCTTCCTGCCGGACAGAAAAGACCTCTGGGAATGCCGCACCAAGACGTGATCCACTTTGGCCTTGGAACTTTCGTCCTGGGCCTTGGATCACGCGTCCACGGTGCCGAACATGCCACAAACGCGACGTCCATGGTGCCGATCGCGCAGACGTTTGCAGTCTGCCATACGTTCGCGGTGCCAGTCTGTGGCAACCGGCTAGTCTAGGAGAGTGAGATCCTAGCCGAGCAGCTCCTACCCTCGCAAGTCTGGTTGAGATAAGGTTCTGCTCCACAAAATCTTCACTCATCTACTGGTGTTTCGGGCCCTTGAGCTGATGTCGATGCGCTGTTTGGGGATGTTTGCGGTCGCCAACACCACGGGGCTTTTGATATTGGTCAACCACGGGTCGCTTGGGTCGTGTCTTCGCGGACCCGTGTGACCCGGTCGCGTGATCAGCCTTGTCTTGAAGCTCTGGAAGCTGAATTGCATTCTCGAACATCTGCGCAGCGAGAAGTTCGAAGGAGGGAGAGGGAGCGCCCCGTCGTGTGACCCATTTTTCAAGAGGCCGTTGCTGGGCAAACATCAAGATCATTCAAGATATATATACACCGGCCAAACAAAAAGTTGTGCTTGATGAATCAAATGGTGGGACCTTGCGAACATAATCACTCAGTCAGGAAATAAGACTGCTATATAATATGTATATATATATACATAAGAGTTGGCCGGCGATCTATCGGCGGCTGACCTCATGGTGTCCTGAGAAACTGGTAAGAAGCATAAAGTCTTGTATGTCTGAAGTTTAGAACATGTTCCAAATCCAAGGAGAAGCTTCAAACCCAAGAACGCACCATCGAGCACAGAGTCGTGCAGTAGTTATTCCATGTTATTCCCCCTTCTTGTTCAGGAAAGATTGGCATTGTAGTATCAAGATGTATCAAGGGTGTTAAGGCGAAACAAAAAGAACAAGCTTGACGTTCTCTGTGGGCTGCAGGTGACCCTCACGATCGAACAAACCATCTGTTCGGATCTTGCGCCTCAGACTCTTTGGCCATGATGTCCGGCCAAAGGAACTTCAGCAGCGCGAAGAGTTCCCCCAAGTTGTTCTGATGGGTGGATCACAGTGGATCACAGTGGATCAGTGGAACACTGGTCGTAGTGATGTCTGGGCTGGGGCTGTGGCTGGGTGTCAGACTGGAGAGGTTCACTGTGTGTCCATGCTGCCATGCTTACAACTCTCTCCCTCCCATGCAGTGGTGCACCTGCAAAGGGGTGCCTGTGAGAAGGAACCGCGCCGCGCACGGCACGGTGTCCATCACCTCGGCATGGCAATGGTGGGAATTTTGACCTGATCACTCAAGCCCAACGCAGCTTTTCTACGACTGCAAGGTCAACTGTTAGACCTTGCGGTCAAATCTGCCTGGCTCGGAAGTGATTTTTCAACATTCCCCACTGCTGACGTCTCGGAGGCATCACAACCAGTGCGGTGCCTATCCTCCTGTACAAGCCCAGCCTCCCCAAAACAACCAGTCTGCCTATGTTCCTTGTTAAAACGGGGCCTCTTCACCACGACAAATGATGGGCTTGGGACAAATGATGGACATGTCCCTTCAAATCAATGTCCAGATTTCATCGAAATCCACACCAAGGTGTACGTACATAACGACATGTCCCACTTGCTTTTGGCCCTATTCCCATTCAGCGGAGGGTGCTCCACAGAAGCTACACACTGGTTTCATCAATGGTTTCATCCTCCCCGAGCTCCTTCGCAGTCAGGGTCTTCGCAGGTCTATCTTGAGATATACGACACTCGTCTCTCGCGGTCTCTCTGAGTTGCTGTTCGATGCTGTTTCCTCTACTCAGGTGCCCCACCTCCCTCACCTTGCTGTTCCGGTTCTTGATTCGGTGGGCCTCAAGACAGACAACGGTTGGACAAGGTGAAATCGAGGCAAGGTGAAATCAAGCGGGAATCGGACCCATGGCAGGAAACTGAAGTACTGGTTGGAGAGTGGATCATCTGATCTGTCCCATTTTGGACATGGCAATGTTTTGCATTTCAGTAACCTTCATGGCACCTGCCAGGTTCCTGCCAAAACTGTACGCGACCCATCAAACTCTGCTAATATCGTGCGTACAGCCCAAAGAGGGGGTCCCAAAAAGGCTCCACGACCACGCCTCCATGCCTCTAACGACCTAGTCTCCCACCTAGCCTAGCTAGCCTAGCTGGCCTAGTCTCCCAACACCACGCACCACTGACCTCCCCGCCATGCATGGCGGGCAAAGGCACCGCGGGTGCGGGCAAAAGCGCCTCGTCGAGCACGAGGACGGACCACAGGTGTCGCTGGAAGAAGTCCTGCGGACTTAGCAGTGGACGGAGTCTGGTGAGGTGTGAAAGTAGCTTTGGTATGCTTTGGTGAGGTGCGAAGGGGTGATAATTTGATAATAGTAAATGAATAGTAGTCCTAAACCGGGTGCTTAACACAGCCTAAACACGGCAGAGGTCTCCCTGCTCGCCCATGCTGAGACGCATCCAAAATGATGATGTACCTTCCACAAGCCTCGGTGCTCACCAAAGTCTCGTAAGTCGTGATGATGATGTCCTGCTCAGCGGGAAAAGTGGCAGGGAATGTGTCCTACTTGGGGTCTCCCCCTTCCGCTTTGGAAGAGAAGTGGGAAATTTCAGTGGCCCAGGTGCCCAACAAAAGCTCTGGCGCTGTTTCAGCGCTTTCAGCTGCAACTTCTGCATCGATTTGCAGCGAAAGCGAGGCACACTGGGTCCACCATCGGGTACACCAATCGAACCCTTCACGACTCGGCCGGGTATGGCTTGGCTGAACCCCTCTGAACCAACCACCTCTTCGGCCCCATTCCGTCGTAGGACCGAGCGCCCCGCAACGGTCGTAGGACGCGGCGCGCTCCTTCATGCCGTACCAAATTTCGTTGTCGTCCAGACTGTGCTGCCGTTCCTTCACGCTCCCACAGACCTCAAAAACACTCGAGGAAACCATGGACGAGGTGATGGTGAGGCAAGATGTTTGGCACCGAAACGCGGAAATAGCCCGTCTAACCTCTGAAATGGTCCAAGGGACATTGAGCAACCTGAGCCTTTTGAGGGTGGCTAACATGATTCGAAAGCAGGAAACTGCATTCAATCATGGCTCGTCTGTTGACTTGCAAAAGGTTGGTCTACGCATCCCTCCAACCACAGGCACCTTGGCAATCGAAAGGTGCGGCACGAAGCGCTTGGCCTTCCGAGCGAGCTTGTGATTCGTGTAATAGAGTTACATGCAATTTTACTGAACAAAAGGGTGCTGCATGCTTCACATATATATATATATATATACTGTAGCCAAATTTGATGGAAGAAGGCACCATGCATTTTCTGGTCAGCTTCGGGCTTTTGGGGAAAAATAATGTCCAGCGAGTTCCTATCTTATATACATTGATATATAGCACGATCATTGCAAAACTGGCATGCTTCACAGGTTGTTTCTTTCAACTATGAGGTGGCTCGGGGTGAGAGCTCGAAGAATTTCAGCGACCGTCACAACGATTTGGCGACCGAGCAAAACATGCCTCTTTGAGCGCCACCAAGTAACAGGTATCCAGGAGCTTTGCGCACAAGGTCAGAGCATCAGGTGCTATGGCTCCACCAAAGGAGATCCTACCCCCAGCTGTGGATGTAAGTATGGGAGTTATGCAATGACATTCATGTCAAGGAATGCAAGGATGCATTCGCCACCATGGAAATACCATGTTGAAATGACAACCCATCAATCCTGCATCAACATCTCGTCAACCTGCATCCCTGGAGGACTCAAAAACCGCACCAGCGCTTGAAGATACAACATCTACTTCACTTCAGAACTTCAGCCACTCTAAGATGCCTTGTGAGTGCTTGTTCAGCCACTCTTGGCCGTTTTTGTGCTCGTTCACCATGACATCAAACGCCGTTCCGCACTCAGACGGAGACAATGAGACGGTCGGGCCGGCGAGCCCCTTCGACCACGCAAGACGCGAGCCCGGCGACAGCGGAATGAAGGTCATGCACTCTAAAGCTCACTGATTCTAACGCCCACTTTGCATCACGGATTCTAACTCCAATTTTGCATCCGGATCATTTCTCAATCGTAGTCATATCACGCGCAGAAAAAAAAGGTGCAAAACCCTTGGCTGTCTTTCCCGGTGATGCTCATCCAGTCTCAAGGTCGATTGACAATCACCTGCACGCCAACATGCCTTCTGATTCGCAGCAAAGAGAAAGTCCTCCATTCGAGACACAGCTGATCCAACCACCCACATCGAAGCTCGAAATCCTCCATTCTTGTAAACTGAAAAATCCATGTTTTACCTTATAAAGGTACACGGAGTACACGGATCACATTTTACATATACAATATCATTCAGGTGTCATGGAGTCACCGACTTTCCAAATACATCCAAAGGCTGACTTTCCATTATTCCAGCCGGCTGACTGGAATAACTTGCACCGCTTGACCAACTGGAAATACTCAAACCATCAAGCACCTCCCTCCAAAGCATGACACGGGTGACACGTGTGGGCACATCCCAATCCAGATGAAGAAATGACCTAGGACCTACAGCCTGACTGTTTGATGCCACCTCTGAAATCAAAAACGTGATGCCCCCCCAAAACATCCCCAAACCAGTCATCCCCAACCTGGTTGGTTTTGCTTTGGCACCTCAACACCACCCGCGTACGCCACGTGGAAAAAAACGAACTTCTCATTTTGCCACGCCCTCCTCCAATGAACACCAACCGCACTCTTCCAGGCCTCTCGGGCCCAATTCCCCGCGCAGCTCAAGGGAACCACCACAAGGGCAGGGCCTCGTGAAAACCCCGAGGCCTCGCGCGGAGGGCGGCACGCCGGGTTAGGTGAGCGGGCGTGGGAGGCACCAAGCGTGTCGCGAGATGCGTGGCAAGCTTGGAACCACGTGACGCTCCTCTAACTATTCTCAAGTGAATACATAGATAGATAGATAGATAGATAGATGCAAGTATACAAGTACGGCTTTCTATTCCCAAATGGTGTAGGCGGTCCTGGATCCCATCACTTCCAAACAATCTGGCACACACGACCTGACCTGCAGGTAACTGAGAAATGCCAGCGTCTGAAGGGTCTTCCTGGCGAGACTTGGACGAGACAGCGACTCGCGCTCGGCCAAATGCGTACCAGTTCGATGAGCCGGCTATCGACAAACATGTACAACCCTCACACACACATGTGCGGTCATGTGGCCTCACCTCACAGTGACCAGACAGGGCTGAAATGATTGATACCCTGCTTTCTGGGACGGTGTGATCACAAGTCGTGTACCATCATGTACTGAGGTCAACGCATCAATTTTCCACGACAAACAGCATCCTCACTGTCATTTCACCTCACTTCACAATCAAAAAACTATCCCCTCGAGAGGGCACAAAAGCATGCGCAGGCACACCCCAAGCCCATATCATCCGCCAGAATTCCTCCACATCGATTGAAAAAGCCTCAGGTCTTCTGCTGAGGCTCTTCAAGAAAATTTAGCACAGGGGGAGCTTAGTCTTAGTTGTGATCATCAATCATCTCAGGTGTATATATATATATATACCGGCGGACTGAAAGATAGAATGTGGTTTTGGTTTCCAAATGAATTTCCATATACACTTAGAATGTGACGGGGTCCGTAGAGCAAAATAGACAAACAAAACACATTCTATCTTTAAGTCCGCAACAAGTGAGTTAGCGATGAAAAACACACACAGATAGAATGCCCCCAAGTGCTAAAGCATCGCTCCATTTTTCCACCCCGCTGTCCCATGTTACTGTATCACCTCACAACAGGCCCCGTCAAAGAGCTCAAACTCCGCCATGGTTTGAATTCGGAAGAATTCATTGTATTGCCAGTGCCAGTGCAAATCAAGGAACGGGTCACACATATATTACAGAATGTGTATAGGTTGTGCTTTAAACTCCAAACAAAGCCTTTGGCACTTCATGCAGTATCAGGCGGTAGAGGAGGCTCCTTTGCTCCTTCCCGATGCTCGACACCTTTCAAGGAGACACATTCTAACTGCTAATGTGAATGCGGAAACTGCTAGCTACTGGCCAACCGGTTACAGTACTCGTACATCCTGGGAAAACTCTACCGACAGATTTGAACCTCGCGGTGGAGCTCGGAGCAAAGCATCCCTCAGGTCGCCGATTGGACCATCCATGGCTATAGATGAGCCCCCTTCACACACAATATTGCGCACACGCACATAATATTGCATACAGCTGCATAGAGAGAGATAGAGAGAGTTTAAATCTCTCCGACATTATATATATATATAATATACTTTATATGCACGGTTCTCTGCTTTGGGCCAGGCATTCTAGGGCGCGGAAGGGCAGCAATGAAGCATATACCACAGCACATTCCATGTTTAATGGAAACGGAATTTTCACATTCTTACTTCGCTTAAAAAAGGCCTCAGATAGAATGTGGCGTTTTCGTGTACCCGTGGACTCAAAATTAGTCAGTTCAAATTTCCAAACGGACATTCTAACTTTCAGTCCGTCGGTATATATAATCCCAAAAATGTTCAAGTCCGTTGTCTGACAAAGCAACAAGAACGCAACAAGCAACTGGCTATGCTTCTTGAATCAGTATTAGACCGCCTCTACCCACCTTTAGATATGAGTATGAGCAGAGCCGGCCTCTTCCCAAGTTCTCCAGCCAAAACATGCGAGACGGCTTGGTGCCGGCCGAGGCACTCTGGATCAACCAGTTCACCCCAACTTGCTGGTATTCCTGGCCACTTTGGCTCACTCGGATCCCTCGAGTCTCCGGTCACCGCCCGATCGGGTGATCAGCCATGCAAAAAGGGGGAACAAGACGGAACAGGTGAGGGTTGAAAGCGGCCCATTTGCACTGAACATATCCGAATCCTCTGATAAACCCTCCTCACCACCGCCCAAGCATCTGGACACCAAAGGCATCTTCGATTGTGCTAGTAGAGGACAATCCAGTCAGCCCAAACTGCACGAACTTTGGCAAAGTCTCTCACAGTCTCCCACTTCCATCAGCTTGGCACAGTCTCCCCATCTCTCCATCCCAACGTGCTCCGTCCGCCTCCGCCCGCCTCCGTCCACCGCGGTCTCCACTCCCGTTCGAGGCGCCCACGTCCCCCGCCTTGAGCGTGGTGGTCTCGCTGACAATCGGTCGCCGCGCGAAGCTCAGGAAGTCCGGCACGTCGCCTGAGCCCAAGGGGCACCCTAAACGCGCGGCGATCCTTGAGGTGAATGTTCCAGATGGAGACGAGATGTGAAATTAGCCCAAAACACAGCTAGACGAGATGAGGTGTTCCCCAAAACCGCAGTGATCGCACTTTCGCAGAGCTGCGCGGGTCCCCCGGCCTCCACGCTGCCCAGGGAGATAGGCCAAAAGCCACTTCTCCTCCCGGAGCTCCTGGGCGGCATGGACGGCTGGGTCTCAAGGGATTGGCTCGATCAACCGGTTTCCTGCATGGTTTGCTATACATCTTGCTATCAAAAGGGATCATACCCAGTAGAGACCAGTAAAATCAAAGTCAAAAATTGTCCGTTGTACAATAGTATACGATGTTCTCGAGGTTTTGGTGGTCTCTGCTCGGGTGGCTTTCACATTCTTACCAGCTGCGGGAGGTTCAGAGCTGCCGAGTCGTCTCCAAAGGTTTGAACAACCGTGCAAATGTCCGTTGCTGGCAGAGAGAGAGAGAGAGAGAAAATGAAAAAAAACATGTTGATTCATAAGAAACAGATTCATAAAAGGCAATATATATCATATCATATATATATATATATGGAAAGAAAGAGATCACACTAAGTTTTGAAATGTTTTGAGTGTGCACGGCATCCTAGGGCATATGGCGCAGGTCATTTACTTCGGCACAATTAGACGGTCTATGCCCACGGAGCCGCTTTCAGCAACTGGCAGAAACTTTTCGGTTCGGGTCTTCCTGTTGGACCTAGACAGTCGACCAACAGATTCTTGCCATCCAACCGATTCAACTAATTCTGTGTTGAACTCCACCTGTTGCACTCAGAACCTATCATGTTTGCTTTCTGGAGTCTGGAAACTCGACGAAAAAGGTCAAATTTACTGGCAAAACTGTGGTACAGGGCAACAGGGGACGTAATCGGAACCACAGCCACGGCAGTTGCCCACTATTCAACAAACATGTCATGTGGACACAGCACTTCTGCAGAAGCATAAGTTCATTCTTAAAGTTCTGCACCGAGCAGTGATGGGTCAAGTCCTTCCAGTAGTGAGGCTGAGACGGCAGAACCTTGACCAGAGCCATGTATTGTTTCCCCCTAAAAACGGTGGACACTGCTTTGTTTCCTTTTCGGGCATCCAGCGACCGACTGACCTTGGCATACTGACCTATTGTTTCGTTCGCTTGGCGGCTGCTCATGCTGGTTCGTTCTCGCAGTTCGAGAACTGCGGTGGTGTCACTGGACCGGACGTCCTGCTGCACTTTTCGGACGTCCCGTGCACGAACTCTTGGTCGTTCCCAGCCAATCCGATGGAAGTTGCGACGAGAAAGCCTGGTGGTTGGTTTTTGCACGCTTTGCAGGTCCTGTGCTCGTTCATCCATGGCATTGTGAATGCTTTACTACCGTGATTGCGTGCTCGACCGCTCCGGGCTCGCTTCGTTGGGCCTTCAATGCAAGTGGACCATGACGTGACCTGGGAAATCTTTGGAAAGGCAAGACCTTGGATCAAGTAGTCTCTGCCAGCACCAGTCTGATGGGAAAAGGAGTTGTTTGTATCTTTTTTCCTATGCTTAGCTTCAAAGCAGAGTTGGAAACCTGACCTGACTGTTGGTTCACAGCCTGTGGCACATCATGGAATGCGGGTAGGTGCGAATTCACACACCCCTAATGCGTGCGAAGCAGTTTGTTGGACCTGGAGCTGGGCGCTGCACTGCTCACGCTGTGCAGTAGCGTCCCACGGGTGTCCGCAAGCCGTCAGAGATAAAAAGTTCTGTGCCGATCTTATTAAGACGATGTCATGCCCAAACCGCCCCCCAAAAAAACAAACAGCCAACCAAAGTTCGAACCGCAAGGCCCGAAGAATCTGCCCTAAGATCTTTGGGCTTGCGTGCTTCATGCCCTACCCCCACCAAAAAAATATCGTTTCACAGCTGACGACGCCTGCGTCTTGGTGACCAGGTCGGCTACCAGGTAGACTCAGCAAGCGGAACAGGTACGGATGCTGAGGCCACTGCATGCCACAGTGGCATTTCTGGGAATTCCCAACAAGTACTGTATCTTTCATCGACCAACTGGAAGGTTGACACCCGTGTGATCCACAAGATCCATATGGTTCAGGCAATGACATATATCATCCAACCCTGCTGATAAGACCCATAGGCCCCAGGTTGGCCATGCCGATCAGTCGATTGGAGAAAATCGAAGTGGAACTCGAGTTCCACAACCATAGAGGAATGGTCAGTCACTCAGACGAGATGGGTGTGAAAAATAGGAAAAAACACCGGTTTCAACCCATGGTTTCACCGGAAGGCCTGGAAGAAGGAACATAGAGAGGGTCTCCCTAGTCTAACACATCGGGTCTCCCTCCGCCGTCAACCGGAGTTGGCGACGTGATCAGCAGTCGTGATCGGCTCTTCCGCGTTCCACGGTTCGGTCCCAAGTCCGCAGCCCGCAGGCGACGTTTGCGAGAGCACGATGGCCTGAGCGAAACACGATGGCGCGCAACGAGTCCGACAAGGACGCGAACCGAACGGGGCGAAACTGGCCTTACTACTAGTAACAAGAAGCTACTAGTAACAATGAACATCATCGAAATTCACACGGAAGACTAAGAATACACCAAAGAAAAAACAGATCCCAAGAGAGATCCCATGGGTTTCTTTGGTTTGGTAAATTTGCTAAACTGAGGTGGATATAGAGGTAAGAACCCAGAAAAAATACTACCCCCGAAACGGGTAGGATATCTCCAAATATAGAAATCAACTAAAAACGATGCTCAGGACTCAGGAGATTTCTGGAATCACGCAGCGACCAAAATTCCACACCCCAAACAAATACTTGTTGTCCTCAGAAGTAAGAACATGTTTTTGTTATCTCTTCCTGTCTCTTCCCATCTCTTCCCGGTGGTCTGACCAGGTTCCATGTTATGTTTTATAGAGGCGATCCGTGGCCAAAACAAGCTTTCGGTACTTGGGCACCCCAGGCGTCGTAGAAGGTGCGACCAGTGTCGACCTGACCGCGGGGCGAACGAGGTCGAAGTTCAACTTTCTTCTCTTATCCATCTGAACGCAGGCCCATCTGAAAAATTTACAAAAAAATGGTTTGGAGTTCCAGAGTTGCTGACCCACCTGTCAGCCACCAATTCCAAGAAAGATGTGACATCATGACATCCATAAGACATCCATAGACGCCATAGACCAAGCTTGAACTGAACGCCAGCGTTTGGGTGACTGACCCTTGTTCTTTCTTTCTTTCGGTCGAAAGAACACGGTTCGCGCGAACGGTTCGCGGGGCCCTCCGACCTGGACGATGGTGCCCACCTCCAGGGGCTTTCGGCCCTGAAGACGAGCAGCGAAGCAGAGCAGCGAAGCAGAGGGTTCCGAGTAGAAGCTTCGGTTCTTTTGCCTGGAACCCAGTCCCAGCCATTTCCTAATGTAAAGGATTCAATTGCACAACCAATTGTTTCTGGTTGGGACTGGGATTCCAGGTGCAAAGAGTTGCACATCCAACTCACATGCCGTGTTCGACCGTTCCGTTCCGTCGGCCGTTCCGTTGCGCCGCCGCCGCCGCGGACGTCTCTCGTTCTCCGCGGCCTCGCGGGCCTTACGCATGCGCGTCAAGGCCGGCCTGCGACGGGAGGCGTCAAGGCCAGCACGACGAGAACGGTCCCAAACGGTGACCGGTGACGGAGCGTACTATCAGGCTCTCCACTATCAGGCTTCCATAGAGTACATACTCAGAGCTTCGATGGCGGTGCCGGGGCCGTCTTCAGGTGAAATTGGGGAACCGGCCCAAAATCGGCATGACATCGGATGGCTTTAAATGCACAGGCCTCCCCAAATCCACAAATCCACATCTTGGATTTTCTTGAATTTTCTTGCATACAGAGGACGAGTTGGAAAACGCCTCCTAGGATCCTGTGAGTAAGGAATGAATCATCCATGGAGTTGTTCACTAATTACTTGCTAATATTAGCTCCACAGCCCATCTGAATCTAAGCGGGATCTGCTTAGTGGGCGTCCCAGGTATTGCTATGTGTCCTTCAACTCTTTGCCAAACCCCACCCAGTGTAAGCTGCAGTTGCTGCATCTTACTAGACTGGCTTTGGTTCCCACCAGTGTTTTAGACTCACTCTAGCTGCTCTAGCTCATCTTCAAGAGGAAGGAGCTCCCTCTGCTTTGTTTGTCCCTTCTTTTCCACAGCATCTCAACCTCTCGACCACTCTCGTCTACCACCGGGTCCCTGTCTCCGCGCACCCTGTCTCCGGCTTCGACCGGTCCGGTCCGACCTCGCCTGGAGGCGAAGGGGACCAGTTCGCCCCAGTGTTGCAGCAGGAAGACGTCCCGCTGCCGGATCGACGCGGCGCGGCTCCTGCGGCGCACGCGTAAGCAAAGAACGAGCGTCGTAAGGACGACGATGGGGTGAAGGTGGGGGTGTCTTTACACGGCGCGGCAAGGCGAGAGGAATGGTCGGGAGGGCCGGTGGAAAGACGGAAAGATGGAAGGAGATGGAAGGAGATGGAAGGATGAGTCTTTGGATGTCATGGCTCTGGGTTTGGGGCCATGTCTGTTGTAGAGGTCTGTATTGTGATAACTCTGGTTCTCCAGATGAAGAAAGACAAGAGTTCTGGGTTTTCAGGTGCCGCGATGTTCGCAGTTTTTCGCCCACCATGGACTGTCTGTGAGGCATGCATGTCCATTTGTGTCCTCTCAATAAATCGAAGGAATGGCAACACGGCAGTTGTTCTATTTTTCGCCGGAAACCTGACTGAATGATACGCTCAAAGCGAAGCAAATGCTTAGCTCAACGCTTCTCACCCAGGTTGGTCTCTCCCTCCATTTGCCATGAAACGATTTTGGCGTCCAAAGTGGATCCAACAAACCCATCAATCCCAGCCGCCCTCCCTCTCCTCTTGCTGTCTCTCAGTGACTCCGCCATTCGTGCCTTGTGGCCGGGGCTGGATGGCGCGTGGCCGGAAGTGGTTGGCAGGACCCCAGACCATCCGGTCCACGAACCAACGTGCCGCGCGCGCGCTCGCAGAAGCCTCGTCGACGACTTGGTCGTTTGCCCCATCGAAACCAAAAAAACACGGTTTGCCAAGAATACCACCTCTGACACGTTTGACTTAATGTGGACTCTTGATTAGAAAAAGTAATAATTGAATGGAAAAACCTCTTCAATCCTCTTCATATGATTTCATCTGGGGGCTTGATTCATCAAGAGTCTAGTTCTACTCCGATTCGCGGTTTCTGACCAGACCGCTCTTCAAATCGCTTCAGATCAAATCGACGATCTGCTAGGCTTTGCCCACCTTTTTTCTGGCCGATTTCGGCATCTCACCGGAGCGGTTCCAGACCGCTCCGTGCATGACATGCGCAGTTGGAAGAGGAGTGGGCGCAACAGAGGAGGCCAGCTGCACCTCACAAGGCAGAAAGAAACGAGAAAATGCATGAATCCGAGTTGAACCTTATATATAATCCATAAATATATAATACATTATAATACATAATTACAGGCTACTATGTGGTTTTGAATTTGTGGCACCATGCATTACACCGACCCCAACTTCCCCAACCAAGGGAGAGCGGATTGGCTTGGGGGCCGAGTGTCGCATCCCCACCGGTCAAAAACATGTTCCCATCTGCTGAGATGTCGTCCATCGATGTCATCCACCTCTGCTTCAACGACGTCGTCCACCCCGACTCGGCACCCGCCTTAGCGCGGCGGCGCGGACGTCACCCGCGTCATCCACCGGGACCGCTCGCTGCCCAGGCCGTTGCCGATCTGCGCCCCGGGCAGCGGCGCGGGCGAGGCGCTGCGGCCGCGGGTGGAGAAGGCTGGGACGGGCGCGGTGGGCAGGAGATCCAAGTGGTCCAGCTTCATCAGACCTGGTAGCTGGAAGGAGCAACGAAAGATTGAGGGCAGGGAAGCCAATATGAGCCAGCAGAGATCAATAGAAAATCTGTGATCACTGCTCCACGACTCCACGACGTTGACGAACATGTCATGCTGTTCGTCAGATCCATCGGTGCCGACGCAAGCTTGATGGCTGAAAGACGATGCTATATATATATATATTTATCTTTATTTAACGCACAAATGCTATACAACCAACATCAAGCAAAATCAGATTCACAAACAGGCGGGCAGGCAGGCAGGCAGGTCAAAAATGAAGAACACGAAGCCAACATGCCTACAAGAACATGTTTCCTTCAGGAATGGCGTTGCAAAGGCGGCGACCCATGTCGTTCATAGGCCGCCCTCCTTTCGACCCGCGCTTTCGCTATTCGACCTCACCTGACAGCTCCTTCTGCTGCGTAGCGCACTCGCCCCCTAAGGCTTGGGCTTGACCTAGGTTGGAGGCCATCGCTACTAGGTTCAGCCGAGTCAGAAGCGTCTCAAAGTGTGCGCTTTTTGTGCGTGGCACATGATAGCCTGGCACCGTCATTGCTTCGGGGATCATGGTTACTTGATCAGGTTCTAGTACTCTGCAAAAGTGCCATGGGATTGAAGGTTTGGGAAGGCTCCCCTCTTCGGCGACAGAAAATTTCATGGTTGTACCTAACAGTTGGACAATCCCATGCAATCCCCTACTATACAAGTCCTCTAAAACCCTCACAGCACAAAATCATCAAAAAAAATCTTTGGGTTTACGCCACCACACCACCAAAGCCCCCTCCACGCGTCATCATGTGTGTGATCGACACACGGGCTGCCACAGGACATATCCAACCAACATGGGCTGCACAAATGGCATTCCGTCCAAGCTGCTCTCCATGTCATCGCGGGCATCTTGAAGACTGCGAGGCTTGGTATCCTGGCGCGAAGGGGGTGAAACGTAGCGAAACACAGCAAATACAGGTAAAAGATCGTTGTTTCAGGTTGTAGAAAAACCCTCCAAGAAGCTTCTACACCCAAAAATGGACGGAGCTTCAAACATGTTCAAACGACGCCAGACGTGAGGAATTCGTCAAAGTCAAGTGTACCGGACTTTCAGACCGAGTCAGCTCCTTCAAACCAACCACCGGTTAAAGCAGTCCGCGGTTGGTTTAGCTGCTGCGGCCGCGGACTGGAACAGATTGTTATGGGGCCCCATCAGATTTCTTCTTCCAAGACTCACCCTGTTTTGACCCCTTAAAACCCCTTTGTTCACGGCCAAAAGACCCAACAAAACAACAGCAACGAAATGGCCGCACCTGGACAAGGCCCATGGCCAAGAGCGGCGGACCGATGATGGAGTCGAGAACAGGACGCAGATCGCAGAAGAAACTCATCTGGCTCTCCTGACGGGGCGAACAAACGGGCGGCGTTGGAGAAAACACAACGGCTCTGCTTTTGTTGGTACTCAGGTGTTGGTACTGCGAGTGTACTGCGAGTGTACTCCCGAATCACAATGTTGTTTGCTGTGAAGACAGCCCAGGGATACTCAAGGGGTGCCCTTCGGTTGCGAGGGCACTGGATGTCTCTTGTTTTTTGTTGCGGTCTGCGGAAAAAGAAAGACCCTTTTCAGCACAGAAGAATTCAATCACGTAGAAGAATGCCAAAAAGGAGGTCTGCAAACCAACAGACTTGTGGTTGGGTCACGAGATTCTGCATGTGTCCACATAAGACCGCGGCCACAAACTACGCGACCGCTGCGACCCCATGGCTCGGACGTGAAAGATCGGACGACGCACGCATGAACGGTCCGGTCGGGTCGAGTCTTTCTTCCGGTGCCACCCTTCGATGAAACCGAAGCTTTTGGGGTTCATGTCTACTCTTGATGAATAAACCCTTCCCTAATGGAATTGAAAAACCTCCTCAGATGCAAACAAGCACCGGGTTTGCAGGCACCATGGAAGTGTGACACTAACAAAGCGCCGCGGCGGAATCCACATGCGATTTTGTACTACCTCTCATGTCGCACCCAGTTTCAGTGGTGGCGTTTTCGGGAGACCAATGATCACATGGGTTGGACGTATCACACTGGGTGGGACATACCCAGTGTGAAGCCCCCAGCAGTGCAGTGCAACGTCAGTCCGCAAAAGGTACCATCCACTCCTCCAACCTTCAGACGTTCGCCCCTGCAGTCCAAGTCCGGTCCGCTTGGCGCAGAAGCAAAGTGGAGGCAGAATTGAGGGCAATACAGTAGCTCCTTCTAACCCTTTGAGGAACCGCATCAGACATCGCATTCATGCTTTGCAGTATGACTTGAAGGGACACCCGCATAGCTCGAGATGGTCGCCGGAAGAGCTCGAAGCGGTTTTACATGAGTGCGTGTTGAGATCGGGAGCAAACCAACAGCACATGGCCCGGTCGCTTGATCGTGCGTTGTCGCGTTCGGTTCACCGGTTCAGGTCCGTTTCTGCAGCGTCTGACGCCTTGGCGTCACAGTTCTGGTCGCTTCCGAAGCGAAGGGTCTGGAAGGGTTGCATCAGCCGCATGCTAAACCCTCAAGATGGCTGTGCCACCATGATTGGTGTCTTAGATCTACCCGTGGCATGCGAGATTCCAGGAAGGATTTCCCTCAAGACAGAGGCGTCCCGTGCCCGCGAGTCTCCTCATGTTTCCCAATTGAATGGATCTGGCATTCACCAACGTAAGGGTCATCGCAGTTTTCAGATCCCTCACCCAGGAAGCCATGGGTGGACTCAAAGCCCCCTGCGGCACCTGTGATTTTGTTTCTGTGACCGTGAACCACTTTCATTTGGGGAGCCACCCGGCGCACAGTCTGGTGCATGTAACTTCACGGTTTGTGAGCGGGTGACGCAGCAAAAAGCGTGGTCAACTTGCTCTGGAGTGGTCTGGCACTTAGCTGGCTTGCTCCCCGTCGCGCGAGAAGTCCAACGATGGACACAGAACGACGAAAGTGTTGAGGACCACCTGGCAGCAATTGGCAACATGCGCAGTGTTGACACCATCGATGGTCTGCGAGAAAGCAACCAGCCCAGGCGAGATGGCACCCAGCTGTGAAGAATGGCACAATAGACACGGCAGAGACCAAAGCGAAACAGCAAATGAGATTTGGCAGCAAGTGACAGTTCACCGTTGTAAGAAGATCAGTTCTGGAGTCGAGCATGGCTTCATTCACTGTTTGGCACCAATCCGGACCAGTCCCATGGCCAACGCAATGCCGCCAGCTCCCTGAAACCAAAGGAGCACGGGTCTTCCAGATTCAGGACACGGGCATAGGAGCCGCTCGCGGAAGTTTTAAAAAACAAAACACCATAACAAGAAGCTACGAATCCGGGCTCCTGGCCTTACTCGGAGCGATGCGGAGGCGAACCGAACCGGGGCTGCGGAGCAACCACCCCCTCGGCTCGGACCCCAAAAGGAAGGCCTGTCTGCGCGCGTTCCTTGACCACTCCCCAAACAGTTGACCCAAACGAAAGCGTGGCCAGTCACGGTTTTGCAGGCTTTTCCAGAAAAAAAGCACACAACTGTCATAGAACCAAACCGTGCCACGAATGCTGGGGATCACTATAGGTCTGCTCCGACCTCTTGTTCATCCTCATCGTTGCTAGCTAGCAGTTTGTCCGATGTGACACAAAAAGAGGGCAGGCCGTCCCGTGAGGTGCCAACCGCCTTTTTTGGTGCGGCGAAAAACGCCTTTTTTTGGTGCGTTGGCCTTCTTTCCACGTTTAAAATACTGTAAGTCGTACTCCAGACAGTGCTCGCTCCGCACCGCGGAATCCGCGCAATGCGCTTTTGTTCTTTGCTGCGCGAGGATCACGGGACATGTGCGCTCCGATTCCTCCATGATAATAAAATGAGTCGTATCTTTTTTGTGGACGATGTCCACGTCATTCCAGGAACTAGGGAGCTTTTGGTGGTCTCAACACACGTAGTAGGACCACATGCTGGATGTGTCCAAGCACTCTGGAATTCCATGTTCACCAAGTCAATTATAGCGTTCTTTTCTGATGTGTCTGTGTGCCCACAGGCCGGCAACGCCGCCCAACTGTCCGTGCCGAGGATCGTGTTTCTTCTCCACCACTGTCTGCAGCCGTCGCTGGTTCCTCACGTCGCTGGTGGCGGCGTGGGCAAATGGAAGAGGCTTAAGCACTGTAGCAATCACAAAGACCTTGCCTACCAACGTGAGCAACTTGAAACTGCAAACTCTAAGACTCTAAGCATAAATCTTCATAACTTAAACCATGGGTAATCATGTTTGGCTTTCTGAGATTCTGTGGCAACTTCAGGAGCCACTGCAGCTTGCGCTGGATCCGCCCGAGCTCCTCACAGGAAATGCACACGTTTCGTCACTGTGACGTTCTAGATAATAACGTGGTGAAAATGCTGCTGCTTGAATAGAAAACCAGCAATCAACCAAACTGACCATGAACAAAATCAACAAAATATCAGTGTTGCAAACTGTTTCGGTTATCTCTTTCGGCATCTTTATACTGGGAGGTATAGAAAATCTCCTGTGGGTTGACTTTAGAGGGTGGGGACACGAGGACAAAAATCCACATCATGTGATCATTTAGGGTCACGAGCGGATGTCAATTCCTTCAAAAAAGTTGTCACAGTCAACATTTCAGGTTCCAATTTCACATCAAAACGAATTTACCCCGCAACACGAATCTCGTCTGTAAGATCCTATAGAAGGCCCTAGAACGTGTATCCAAACCCCAAATCCTCCAACAAAAATCACCATCAACTGCTCGCCATCACGTCCCACACACCATCCGTCGCCACCATCCGTCGCCGCCTCCGCTTGGATCTTCTCCCACGGCGACTCCCGGCGCCGTCCGGCGCTCAGCGACCGCCGGCCCCGTGGAGTGCCGCTCCGCGCGCGCTGCTCGGCACGCTTCACCTGGAGCGCTGCTCGCTGCGCACCGTGGGCGCGGGACCGGGAGGTCAAGCTGTCAGGGTTTGATCCTTAAGGATGATGAAGTAGGCAATTTGAGTGAAGTTTCATCAATTTGGGTGGGATATGATATATGGAAGGTTTGCAATTCGGAGTGAACGAATTGCATACTGCTTCAGCAAACGAATCGCTCCGCGGCGTGTTGGGCTGCAGCCAAACCAGGCCGAACTTGGGAGCGCCTTAACCACGGAATTTAAACAGGTGAGCCGTTATCCCCCAATCCCACGCCAGTCAGTGTCAGGTGTTGATAGCAAAATTGCCAGAAGATTCACACAAACCATTTGACCCGAGCAATCAAAACCCGGAAACCCTGCTGTGGGGGATTGCAAAAAACTCAAAAGCTTGTTGTGAACTGTGAATGTCATAGTCTCTTGCGTGAATTGGTGGTATGAACCCCTTCAATGGACAACCCCCCCTTATATAAAACCAAAGAACAAAAACGAAAAGCATGTGTCCACAACTGCTGGCTCTGGACGGATTCCCGAACATGTCTGTTTGGAGCTTTGGGCGAATCCGGATTAGTCCATCTGGATTCAGATGTGTTGATCATTCGTATCGGCAAGTTTCGGCAAGTGGGCATTTAATTTGCAATGTATCGTTCGTTTCGGCCTTCCTCTGTTGATTTCGGCCTTCCTCTGTTTTGGCCTCATGAGTACTGCCTAGTAAATGCTCAGCAGAAACACTATTCAAGTTAAACCGCAACATGAGTAGCCCAAAAATATGAAAGCAGGAATACATTACGTCTCGTGATGGATGTAGCAGAGTCAGTGAAGAAGCACATGTAAGAATATGGACGTGCAATACAAAACTTAACCCGATAATATTTTTATGAAAACATTTCCACCTATCCTGGTTCATTAAAGCTGCATCCATATGCAAGATCCCCAATTTGGACTATACAAATACACCAAAACGGCGGTTGCAAACATCTGCTTTGAACCGGCCCAAAGAGCTCAACTCCCAGTTAACAACATGAGTCAATGGTTCCCCCATCTTCTTCCATACACTTCCTTGCCCTTTGAGCCACGACCCACACCAACACACCGACAACTGAATTACAAGCGGTAGGGGCAACTTACGCGCTACGGCCACCGCACGGGACAGGACGCCACACCGCCACAGCACGGCCCCCTACCTTTGTCTTCTCGTATAAGTACTGTCGCCAGCTGCGGACCCACTCAGTGATGCTGTCGTCACTGGCACGCTCCTGGAGAGCCGAGCGTCTCACACAACGGCTCAGCGGAACGGCGCGCGGTGGGTAAGAAACCAACAACGAACGCAGCTTTTATTTTCCAACGAAAGCAGCCCGTCTTTGGTTTGGCATCCGAGGATCCTTGATGGATTGTCTGCTCACATTCGTTTGCGGATGTTCAAACTAGAAACAAAAGCTCCGGCATGCTTTGTTCTCAAGCTGCGCAAGCAAGCTTGACCTTGCTTTTTTGAGGCTTCTTGGGCGATTGCTCACCACCTGTGGTTGTAAGTAGATGTCCTGGAGAGAAGCTTTAAGGTGGTCTCAACGAGTATAAAGCAGCTCGATCTAGTTCTCAGTATGTGAGTCAGATGCATCCAGTAGTCATGGTTCTGGGCTTTGGCGCACGGCCATCAACCGAACAAGCTACCAAATCATACCAAAGCCAGCCCGCTCAGCAAAAGGACTTGGAACATCAACATATCATCAACCAAAACGACCACCACCAGGTTCCTACCACCAGGTTCCTACCACATTCACAAAGCAGCTGTCTCCACCACCAGCTCTTCATCCGTCGTTTCGTTTCGTTTCGTCGTCTCGCTCCGTGGTGGCCCGGCGCTCGCCCTTCGTCCGCTCGGGCGGCGAGCGCTTCCGGGAGGAAACGCCTTCACCCCCCGAGCCATCCGAGGCCGACCCAGTCGCGGACTCTTCCTAGGCGCGGACAGTGACAGAAACGTGGGACGAATGATTCAAAAGCATTGGGTCTTCCCAACAGTGCCTTAAGATGGATAGGGGAGGTTGAGGTCCTCAAATCGAATGCTGCAAGTATAGTACTGGAAAAAGTAGCATGCAACTCTTAGTTGGAGCCCGAGATTTCTCTGGCAGGTCAAAAACATCGCCGCCATATGCCACGCAGGCGCCCAAAGCGTCAAAAAATGGAAGCACCGGTTCCCCCACCTGCTGACCTCACCCAACGACCAGGACCCCAAGTCAAGGACCTGCTGACCGTGCACTCCCGGCCCACCGAAACCCGAAGTTGAAGCAAACGTCGTGGACGTTGGCAGATGGGTCGTCTGCTGCGCAAGCCATGAAAAAAGAGAAACAACATGTGCCAAAACCACCAAACCGCCCCACGAGAAGCTCCCAAAACCCCTTTTGACCACCCAGCAAAAAACACCACCCGTGAACCAACCTACGAAAACATCCATCCCACGTCCCCGACGTGTCTGCACCGATGCCGCTGGTTTCAACGACGCGCGACTCGCGCCGAGGGGCACGACTCGCGGGGTCGCTGCCGGCGCCCAGGCCACGGTCCTTGTCCAATTGCTCCGTGAGCTCCTGCAGGACGTCGGTCGTGCTTCGACCCCCCCCGGCGCGGGTGACGGCGCGGGAGCCGGCCGACGTCGGTCGTGCCCGATGCGTTGCTCCGTGCGGATGCGGCGGAGGCGAGACGTGAAAGACGGATCGGATGGGGTTGGGCTGGTCGGATCGGCGAAGGTCGCCCAGAAAGAGACGTGAACAGACGAAGTGGTTGAAGTGGAATGGTTCGGTCTGGGATTGGCATCACCTTTGAACCGAGGTTGGGATTTTTGTGGAGCAATTCACAGAGTTGGGAGTTGGGAGTTATATATACAATGTCCATACACAGATTTCCGAAGTTGCCTCACATTCTTGGAATGCAACCACTTTCGAGAGCAGATTTGTATATATATATATAGTTGGATTCCAACATGAAGCATGGATGATTTTAGCAATAACGGCAATAACGGAACGGATCCAGAAGTGTCCAATTTCAAAGCTTGCTTGGACACAAAAAAGAACCATACATTATATACATCAGCATAACTATTGTGTCCCCTCCACAAACAAGGCATGCATCGAAATAAACATCTACTTTTCACTGTGAAAGGAAAGACATAACGCAGTCTTGTTTCAGACCTCTGTGAAATTCGAGAAAAACAAAGGTTATTGTCTATTCTTTCACCACCCCAAAACACAGTCACATCCCGTCACTACTAGCAGTGCCTGGTCGATCTGCGATCGAGTCGGGTCTGCGGGTGTGCCTTGACCGTGGGAAGGTCCAACATCAATGTCGCTGGCAAGGTCTTCCCCAGCGCTCGCCCCAACCTGGCTGAATTTTCCCAGTCGGGAGCCCCGGGCAGCTCCGCGTAGAGTAGAGGAGGTGTTTTTGGGTGACAACGTCTTAGTGAACTGGTTTCTTGATCAGTGGGGTGGTGCCCTCCCTCCAAGCAACACGGAGGTGAAATCTCAAGCAGAGTATATATGATATGCAGGACAGAAACCCTCAGTAGCTCAGCACCACCTTTTTACGTGTCACCCTCCTCTTCCAGAGGACAGGTGACACCGCGACCAAAGGCGTTCCCTCCAAAGGACATCAAAGGACAGTGTCCCCATGGCACCAGGAACTCCATTTGTGGCTATACAACCAGGCCAGGAAAATGCGATGATTCATCACAAGCATTCCTCAGGTCCAGGACAAAACTGCAAAATCTTTGGCAGCTCCCACCACGTCGCTCGATTTTGCTAGATTCCCTTTTCAAACATCCTCTTCCTCGCACGCTCGCACGCGAGAACACCGCGCCTATTCTGGATGACTCCCATGTCGAAGGAATCGAGGCCGCTGGCGAAAAAGCCCAGGTCCAAGTTCTCCATGTCGATCTCCTCACACCGGAGCTTTGGCAGCTCTGCTCTGCTCTTTGGGGCACCGGTCTTGGGGCACTGGTGGGTGGAAAGGGGGGTCTTGGGGCTTGGTGGTCGTGGAAAAAAAGCCGGGTGCCGCTGGCATCCGCTGGCATCCCCTTGCATCCGCGCAACCCCTCAAAAAGGCTCCTCTTTTTGTTCCTGTTCGGCTGGGAGCGAGGAAGGTTACGAAGAGAGATCCTTCAGGGTCCATGCGTGGTGTCTTATTAGGACACAGAGTTCTCAGAATGACCACAAGATACCACAAGCAACCTGACATGGTCGAATCATGAATCCCAAACTTGGATCAAGGAAACTGGTTGGAACAACACCGAATACAGTGGAAGACGACCGGTGCTAAGCAATTTGTTTGTATAAAAAGGGGTACAAAATGGTACAAACATATGCTGGCTGCTGTACCCCTTTTTGGCTTACAGGACACATGGCCACGTGCGCTAGTGGCGCTCGCCTTCTTCTTTTTGCTTTGCAATGTGCAGCTGTTGGTCAGTCCAGTGTTCTCACTAGTAACAAGGACGCTATTTGGTGGAGGCCATCGCAAGTAGGCTGGAGGCCATCGCTGCTAGGAACAAGAAGCTACTAGGAGCAAGGGATTCATTGGGAGCTTCATTGCAATTCCAAGGAATTCAGTGGACCATTCAAAGGTCCGTTCCTCGTTCGACCAGGTGGTGCCTTTCCCCCGGACGAGTCGTTTGGTCTGTTTTCCAGAACTGCACAGTGGAGATACCTTTGAACATGGGAACCCTGCACCTGCCTCAGAAAGGGAAAGGGATGCGTCACATTCTACAGGGCAAGTGGAAAGTCCGAATTGTCGGATGCCTTCAGATCTCGTTGGATTCATCGAAAGGAGTGTGATGTTAAAACATACTTGAGCCATGGTGAAGAAAAACCTTGGAATGCTTAGTAGACTTGAAAACTTTCATCATCTCCAATCATGGCTTTTGGCCGTCTCTCATGTAGGCAGAGAAACCTTCTCCTTTGGAAACCACTACAGAGGTTAGATTTAAACCCATCGTCGCCGTCGCCGGATATCTGCAAACTGGTGGCGTAGCCCATGTCCGTCATGATCCCTGACAAAATGTCCAGCGCTGGAATCTGAGGCTCCTGATCCAACAAGGCCAGCAAGCAAGTGGGATGCAGCACCCAGAATTGCGTTCTCGTTTGCTGAAGCCTCTACACTGCAAAGAAACGCTTGGAATGGACGGTGGCTGACGGGGGCTCCAAACACCTCGACCACCTCGGCTGGGCAGTTCGGGGTCAACTCCGAGTCAACGGACGAAACGGCGGCGAACGACCGGCAGTAGCTACTGCGTACTTCTGATAGTTCACCCAGATCACAGTGATGTGAATGATCACTGGCACAGCGATAGGGACATCAAAATGACATTCCTTAAAGACAGGCACAGTCAAGGAACTCAGGCAACACTATATAGTTATAAGGAATTGGATTGAACAAATTCATACAAATTCTATACCATCACGCGTACTGATAATATCGCTTATTTGTACCCGGCACTTGCCAACATGTTAAAAAAGAAGCAACCAATGCTTCAGGACGCGAAAACCCCTTGATCGAAGGACCCCTATATAAACTACTACAGTGGTAACTGCCGTCCATTGGGCCAAGCTCTTGGCCAATTCAACATGCCATCATGTTCTGCAGTCTGGTCTCGCGACTGCAGTGCGTATGCATCCTGCAGTCACGACATCACTTCTTCGGTCTGGCGCGACCGACGCTGACGACTCACTTCGGTCGGGTGCGCGGGCGACGGGGCGAGGGGTCGACGAGACCTCGGGTCGCGCCTTGTGCTTCTTCCGCGAGGATTTCCCCGAGGAGACCGGCCGCTGGCTGCTGGGGTCGTAGAGCCACTCCTTGGGCCTAGGCTGAAAGCGAGCGTCCGGTGTGGTGTGTCGGGTGTGGTGAAACATGGAGAAGAGGTCAGTGACTGTTTGTTCAAGGAGCCTGGCGCATGCAGTCGGGTCAAAATCGAAAGTAGAATAGAAGATGGATTCATGTTGAATCACAATAAATAGTTTTGAGTCTTGAGTTTGCACTTGACCCAAAACGGAAAAAAATTGTCGCTACTGTCGCGTTGCCAAGGCTCTTGTACTGGATCAGGACACCAGTGCCCTCATTGTCAGTGTCCTGCCGGAGGATGCGGTGGCCACTTTGAGATTGAACGGCGCGAAACCCATTCTCAGTGGGGGCCGTGGATGCCAGCATGTAGGGTATCAAATGACTCAACGTCAACATGCGACCAAAGCTGGACCACACTTGCCGGTTTAGATCTCCATGTAGAAGTGGAAAAGTTCGGAGTCATGAGATTCATGAGTCTGCACTGGACCGGCCAAACGGTCTTTGCTAAGGAGTCAGGGTGGGCACGTGCGCCAAAATCACCAGAGAAGAAAAAGTTCCAAACAATTCAGAAAAAAAAAAAAAA